TAAGTGAAATATGGTCAATAATACCACGTGCAGCAACCAAAGAGAACTACGTTGTTCAGATGCTATGGTCTAGCCAAATGCATCCGATAGGAGCTATGTTGCAAAGATGTCAACTATCTAATCTAGCTCAGTGGGATAGCAAAACTATAGCTACCTGAAACAAAGAACAAATCAAACTATAATAGATACGCAGCATTTCCATTTGCCAATATTAGCATCAACAAAGCAGGCTACGCAAATGGGTTAACTATATAGAGAAAATTTCACATAATCTAATGAGCATTTATAAAGATCATTAGGCTTGCCATTGGCCTTTTTCTTTCAACCAAAATTAAATTTCCAAATAGAAAAGAAAAAGGTCATTTCAGATCCATCTTGAGCTACAAAAGTACAAACCAATTCAACAACGTAACAATTTTAGCCTTATTTACTAACAGAACTCCGAAAATCCAACCTATTTAGCACACAACATAACCAGCCATTGAAGAAACTGCAGCCTCGCTTTTATCCTTAGGTAATATTCATGAACCCATAATATTACAGAAGTTTTTTGTTTTCCCCAACCTGGTTAGAACCCAGGAAACATCCCCACTCTCACAATCTAAGGAAACATCAAATCATAAATTATCCCCACACTTGGAGCCAGAGAACTCACTCAAATCTAATAAAGACCATCCAAAAGCCCTACCTTGTCTGCCGGCAATGGAATTCAACAACCCATTTGTGTAATCTTGACCTTTTTGTCGTTTAATCAACCCATGAACATGCAAGGCTTTGTTCATTCTAGTGCATCAAACATAGAAATGTACTAAATCTATCCTAATACCACTTCCATGTGCTAAACGTGAAATCTTCCATCTTAACCAGATTAATGGATTAAATCTAACCAATCATGACTAAATGGTGAAAGAAAAAAAAAGGAGGGGGGTGAGGGGGACCAATGTGCTTCTGGGGTTAGTTTTAACTTGTGCATGTTAGCAATGAGGATTGGGGGAACTAATTACATGAGCAATGTCACTTAGTTTTGCATTGGAATCAAACTAATATACAGAAAGCCAGTGATAAAGCATATCAAAACCAAAACAATGGTACTGTGTTTTTGCCTCAGTTAATCAGAAAACATGATTTCTTCTTCTTCTTCTTCTTCTTCATAATAATAATAAACTATCAAACCCAGAGTGCAGCTTCACCTAAAAAAAATTACTGTGATCATCAAGTCACAAATTTGACAGCAATAAGTTTCCAAATTGGTTTTGGGGTCAAAAGCTTTACCTGAACCAAGTTTCCAAATTGCTTCTTTCTTTCTTCTGCTTCGCTTTTCTGTACTGCTTAACCCAACTTCTCCATTTTCACAACTGGACTCAGGCAAGAACAACAAGCACAACATCTTTGTCACAATCTGAGACAAATTCTTCAAACAAAACCTTAACCCTTCCAAAACCGGAAATGAAAGAAACAAATGCCCCACCAAAGGTGAAATTTTTAAGTAGATAACAGTCCCCAAGATTCTCGGGGGGACACCCATAGGCTGACGTGGCAGTATCACAGTGGGGGATTGAGTATAAAAAGGTACACGTGTGCCACATATAAGGAAATAGTAAAACCCGGCTAAGAATCATTGAAGCCCAACAATTTCCCGCCATGTTAACAATCAATCCTAAAACCCTATCCCCTTCTCCGTTTATCCACAAAACCTTGATAAACCCTAAAAATCCCTCAACTTCACCCAAATTCTCGAACTTTAACTCATTAATTCGCTGCAAATGCAATCAAGTAACCGAAAGGGGTATCCTTTTTGACACCGGAGAAACCTTTTTCCGCCACGAAAGCGCCATAGGCCGGGACCTGGGTGTCCTCTCAGCAGCACTCTACAAGCAGTCCAAAGGCCAATTAAGAGTCCTCGATGCAATGTGCGGCTGCGGAATCCGATCCCTTCGCTACCTCATCGAATCGAAAGCCGACTTCGTTTTAGCCAATGACGCAAACGAGAGCCACAGGCGGGTTATTTTGGAGAACTTGGCACAAGTTGAGAGGTTTCAAGGGGAAAAAAAGAGATGGGTGGTTACGCATTGTGAAGCAAATCGGGTTCTTACGGATTGTTATTTGCAAAGGGATTATTTTGATTTTATTGATATAGATTCTTTTGGGAGTGATTCGTCTTTCTTTCTAAGGGCTGCATTTAGTAGTTTGAAGCTTGATGGGTTGGTTTATGTTACTTCCACTGATGGGTATTCATCTGGAGGTCACCGCCCTTTTCAGTGAGTGTTTCTCTTGCAATTTTGGTTGCTATTTTTGAATAGAAAAAGTTCATTTATATTGATCTTATCATGAAATTTTGGTCTGCCATGGCATTTTGGCTGCTATTCTCTCATTTATGCCTTAATTGCTACTGGCTAGAAGGTAATACTAATTGATAACATAATTGTTCTGCATGCAAGTAGAATTATACATTTTATTCTTTATAATGTTTTCATTAGGAGTTGCCTATTAGTTCTAGTTAATGTGTTAATGCTCTATCCTCACTAAATTCCCATTGCTTTAGCATCTTAACCAGTGTTGTGGGTACTTGTTAACATTTCCCTCTGCTTAACGAATTATCGATTCTAATATGCTCATTCACTTGTGAGAGTTGTTCCATATAACTAGAATATATAATATTCCTTCAAACCCTTACGTGCTTCCGCATGACTTAGAGGCTAGGCATTGCAAGTTCTCGTAACACTGAATCCTTTCTCATTTATTGGTCTCTGGTGGGATAATTATGCATTTTTATGTGTATATATAGTTCATTAGCAGCATACGGAGCTTATGTTCGTCCAATGCCATACGCCAATGAGCTTGGTTTAAGAATCCTTATAGGAGGTGGTGTGAGGGAGGCTTCTGTGCTGGGCTATCGTGTTACCCCACTTTTTTCGTACTACTCCTACCATGGACCTGTTTTTAGAGTCTTGCTCCGAATGAATCGAGGGAGGCTACCTGACAACAGGTGATATATGATTATGATTGTGTTAAAAGCTGTATCTTGTTTAGTCCTCTTTTGGTTCTTATCTGCAATTCTCATATTAATGATAGGGATTATGGTTTCATCTGCTATTGTTACCGCTGTGGAAATTCCCAAGCAGTTTCATGGAGTGAACTAGGTCGAATCAGATGTCCTTGCAGTAACTCAAAAGTATAACCTCAATTCATGACATGTTTATGTCATAGTATATATATTGTGGTTTTGTGCTTTCCTGACCTTTCTCAGTTCTTCATTCCCACTCATGAAAGCATCCTTATTCTCAGCAATGGTAAAAGAATGCTTGACGTGTATCCCCTTAAACCTTGTTTCTGCTTTCTACAACTGGAGTGGCATACTAAATTTGCTGTCAATTTTTCTAGGATGCTGCATCACTTGTTGTGTCTGGCCCTATGTGGACAGGACCTCTTCATAGTGCTGCTTACATAATGGAAATGTTAAATTTAGCTGAGCAGTGGGGATGGGTGGGCAATGGTGCAGGAACTGATCTAGAAAAACTGCTGAAACGGATGGTGGAAGAAAGTGACCCCAGATTACCATTTGGATACCTCAAGTTGGATGAGGTCCCTCACATGGTTTTCTCTCTCCAAACATAAGCTTTTATATCTGAATTGTTTCATGTTGGTTAATGATTTTCTCATGCTTTCTCAGGTGGCAAGTCGTGCACAAACAAATACCCCTTCCATAAGGACTATCATGAACTTCCTTCACAAGGTATTCTACTTCTACTTGTGTTCTCTATTCACAAGAATTTGAACTACAACTAGGCAGAAAGGAATGTGCTAGGCCTCTTATAGACTTGAGATTCTAATGAGACCTAAAATGATACTTGCTTTAAGACAGGGAGGATGCTTAGCAGGAAACCGAAATATTCAAAATATAGCTAGGTTTAGGGTAAGAGTGACTAGCAAAAGCGTTTAGCAGAATTGATCCCTGTTTTCCATTTGGTTTACTTAATTGGATACTTCCCAAGCTGTTACATTGGATGATCGAGCCGTCTTTAATGGTGTTTTTTTTTTAAAGGTAACATAATACTGGAATTTAACTGTAAGAAGCTATGGTATTGCTGCATTCCAAATGATTCTAGGAATCTGAGAATGTTTGTCTCATTGCACAAAACCAACAGTGAAGAGGGTGTTTTTGTTGCAGGAGGGATATGCTGCAAGTAGATCACACATTGCCTCCAATGCAATAAAGACAGACTGTCCCATGGCAGGATGCATCAGGATTGCCAAGATATTACATGGGTGCTGAAAATTTCAAGTTTTGGAGCCATTAATCATAAGTCTATAACAGTTCTGGAACTCGAAGCCGCACGTAGTTCCTTTGCCTGCAGTTGAGAAGTGTGATCATGGATACCCATTCCAAGAAGAATAGACTTTGCTCCAAACTCGAAAGCTTGAGTTGTCCAAGCTTGTTTGAGTTTGGATCAAAATTTGCCTATCTTGCTTTATTAGAGATGGCAATCCAGAATGCAGTAGGAAAAGATAGAGCAATCAAGTTGGAGCTGAGTTGTACTCATTTCAAATAGGGATCAATTGGATTTAGATTAGAATGCAAGCCACACTTTGATAGGTTTTGAATGGGTTAGAGACAATGTTCACACCTAATCAGCTTTGTCACACCAAGCATGATCATTTACCGCTAAAGCACAAGTGAAACATTTTCCAAATGTCTTAACTCAAACAATGGTAACCTATGATATTCTGACACAAATGTTTGAAAACACAGCATCCTCAACTTGTCAGTCCTCTTTAAAACTTTCTGCACAACATAGAGATCACTGGCAACTCAAGCTAACCTAAAATCAAACTTCATGAAGCCGTGTGTAAATGGTCCAGGATATTTAGTCTTAAATGCTATTTATCCATACATATACACAGATACATTACACATTACACACTGAGATTTTCGACTAATCAAGATCACTCCACAACAAAAACACAACTGCTTTTATGTAAAATGTGTAAAACAATATTTATAGAACAAGTGAGAATTATTTTGGAGATAGTTAAGTAACTAAATAGAAATTATGAGATTCCAATTAGTATTCTCAACAATTCATAGTTTCCATGGTAACAAAAAGTGAAAAATGCAAATAAACTTGAACCAATCAAAACCTTCCTACACAAACTCCAAGTTCTCAAAATTCAAGCAGCCATTCTAAAGCATAACAAAATATAGAAACTTGTCTGAAACTTCGAAGGCCTTAAGGGCGTGCGGGATTTCCAGCACCAGCACGAGGAGCTTGACCAGGCTGACCAGGCTTTGGCATGTCATCCTGAAAATTTAAATCACATACACATTTAATAAAGTTTCTGAATGTGAGCAAATAGTCAAGAAACATTAAAACAAAGACCATCAATACAACAGGCAATTGCACTCGGAAAACCCAAAGCCAACGGAAAAATAAAACCTATTTCTGTTTGATTCATGGATTTATTGCCACCAAGAGAATCAACATTTCATTGTCTAAATTGCCAGTAAATTTGTCAATTGACCACATTATTAATCCTTAATTTTTCACAGCATTCTTCTACAAACAATCTATTTAATTAATTTAATTTTAGGAGTTGCTAGAATCCCCTACACTTACAGATACCTGTCCTGTCTCACTATAAGAATACATTTCCATCTTACAATGATCAGTACGCCACAAAAAAGGCAACTGACAAAGTGATTTTAGATATGAGGGACTCGTTCATCCCTAAAGCACTTAAGATTTCTGCTTAAGGGGCAGACGTAGAGTCCCTTAAGAGATGCAAATCACTACTTTAATGATGCTCGTTGGTCACAATCTGCAAACCATGAGTCACAAAGTGTAAGGTGCCACAAGATTCTACTCTATCTCTACACGACTTACACCTGTCATTTAGGTTAGTTTCAAGGCATTTCCCACCCCATAATGATCAATAAGCCACCAAGAAATGGCCGCCTACAAAGTGATTTAGATGGATATTTGTATGAGGAACTTATTCATCCCTAAAGCACTTAAATTTTCTGCAAAAGGGGCAGACATAAGTCCCTAAAGAACTGCTATCCTCTATAACATAGTACAGAGAATCATTCTAATGATGGTCACAATTAGCAAAATTCTTCCAGTCCCATCAATGACTCCCACGTATCAATTATATTAGATTCCAGACATTTTCCATCCCATAATGATCAATAAGCCACCAAGAAAGGCAATTGACAAAGTGATTCAGATGGAGATTAGTTATGAGGGACTACTTCATCCCTAAAGCACTCAAAATTTCTGCTTAAGGGGCAGACATGAGTCCCTGAAGAATAGCAAAATACCCTTTTATCATACTATACAATATCGTGAATAAAGAACCACTCTAATGGTGACAATTGGCCACAAAATCTGCAAAGGAGTTCAAGAGCTCAAAATCCATTAACCCTACACTTCACGATAATGATAATATACCCTTTAAGTGAGATGTTTATAAAACTATTATCATAATAAATCATATGGGATAAAAGAGAATTAATAAACAAGCCAAGCGAAACAAGATGAACCACATTTAAGTCACATCACAACATAGATCCATGAAATACTAGTTAGCAACACAGTGAAAAGCATCAAATCATGGATCATAAAAAGATGTACCCTGCGTCTGATGAAACGCTGGGGTGGGTCACGCTTCCTCCTGTCAGTGCGGGATCGGACCCTCACAACGTGGGAGTGGATGGCACAGGAAACGCAGTATTGCATCTTCACATACAGCTTAGGCAGAGTGTACACTACACAAAATTATCCAATCAATCACCAAACAATAGATCCAAATATATGCATTTAATCATAGAAATAGAAAGTAATTGGAAATAAAATGAAAATTACTGTCATAGACGCAGGCTTCCTGCACATCCCTGACAGCAGCTTGCTCCACAATGTTCCTCACAAGAAACCTCTTGATTGACTTGTCCTTTAAATCCAACATGGATAAACCGAAAGAATTAAAGAAAAAAAAAAGAAATTTCACCCAATACAAGTAAGAAACCAATAAAGACCCAAATAAGAAAAACTGATGCAAAGTACCTTAGGGCAGCATTTGCCACAGTTAGAGCAGCGGATGAACTTGACATGGCCACGGCCATGCTTGTTGCGGCCACCATTCCTACGCTTGAAAGTCTACAAAACAATAAAGTTTCAATCAGAGAGATCAAATTTGTGAAAAAGATTATGTTTTGACGAACACCCAAATCCAGAAATAGAGATTAAATAAAGATCTGACCATGGCTTGGGGAAGATGCGGAGGTTTTGGAAAGCTCTCTGCTTCTGCCGGCTAACAACTAGGGTTTTGGCTTGTACAAGGAAGAGTAGGTTTAAGGAAAAATGTTGCTTTTATACTTGGCCCAGTGTGTCTATTGAAGCCCTAAGGGCACGTTTGGTTCGAAGTTATTTGGCGGTTCTATTTATTTAGTTTGATTGGTAAAATAATTTTAAAATAATTAAAAATAAATAATAAAATGATAAAATTATCTTTTATTATAATAAAATTTATTTTCATAAAAAACAAACACACCTTTTATATAGTTTAGTATAATTTATATCAAAAGAAATAATTATTTAATTTTTTATTAAAATCTTAAACTGTTAATAATTTATTATTATACTGCAAAATTCAAATCTTTTTTTTTAATTTCAAAAAAATTATAATTTATTGTTAAAATATTAATATAAATATAAATTTTAATTTTAATTTTTTATCTTTTCAATTTTTATTTATAATTTATATTTTTCATTAAAATTTGAAATAATAATAATTTAATAATTTAAACATTAATATTTTAAAATAATAATATTTTAGTTATAATTTAAACATTATTATCATTAAAATATTAATAAATTTAAAATTTAAAATATTAATTTTTTAATTTATAATTAAAATTTTAAACTTTTTCATTTTAAATTTTTTTTCTTTATTCTTCTCGTTAGTGCGGAGATGTGGTTGATAAAATGGAATATCGATATGGCATATCATGTGGTCTGATCTAGCCACTAAAATAACATATCGTTGCTTTTTATTGTTAGACTTAGTCTTGGGGTGCTAAATCTAGTTAAGAGATGTCAAATCCGATGATTCAAGCGAACAAATTATGCTGTAGATTAATTACCCTTTAATCAAGTTTGGTTAGAGAGTACTAGATTGAAATTTTTTTACCACATTCAACTTTGGAGTCACTATTATCGTCATTACCACTGTTACTTATAGTAATGAATGGAGGAAAGAATGAGAAAAGAGAGAAAGACAAAGTAAAAATGAAAAAATATATATATCTATGTATATAATATAGTGTTATAATTTTTCAAACTTACAAAGAGTAATTTAATTTTTAATATTTTGGAAGTTATTCCATCAAGTATAAAATAGCAAATACCATTAAAGATTGAGTTTAATTAAGCTTTGTTTTCGATGAAAAATAAAGGGCCAAACTAGTTATAAAATTTCAATTTACACCTTTATATTCTTTTTTGTTTTAATTGTATCCTGATATTGTAATTATTTATATTTTTTAATTTAAAATTTTTGTTCAATCAAAAATAATTTTAAAAAATAAAGATTTAAACTTTAATTTTTTCAAGATAAATATACTTACTTATCAAAGACGAAACAACATATTGATACAATGAAAACTTATCAATGAAGTTTTACAAAAAATAATTCATATCTTTTATTTATTTATAGTTATATATTTATTGTGAAGTTTATTTCGGTATCTATAACTTTCTTTCTTATTGGTTTCTTCATTTTTTTATTTTTCCTTCTTTTTTGAATACTATTATTTTTTTAAAATTTTCTTGTAAAAAAAAAAAACTTTGTTAAGTAATAGCAATTGTTCGGGTCGGGTTTCCAGAGGCCAAAACGGGTACGGGTATTAAGTGTTTTAAATTTAAATATAAAGAGGTTGAATTTAAATCAGGGCGGGTACCATCTTCTTCCCCTCTACTATGAGGGAAGACCAAACTGAAAATTCCGGCGGGGCCGCGAGCTCCGCCTCTTACGCTGCACCCTCATTTCTCCGCCGTCCAATCCTTCTCCTCTCTGCCTCGCCAGAGCTAGCCTACTCGGAGTTACTCGACCGAGTTTACTCCTTTAAATCCACCGATCGAGTGGATGATTACCACAAATGCAGAGTCGTTCTTGTGCCGTGCATTGCTGTCGCCGCCTTTTTCTAGTCCTCTCAGGGTAACTTGACTTGGTAGAGTTTCGTCTTCTAATTGTTTGAAGCAATTGAATCAAGAATTAAGAAATAAATCAAACATTTTTTTTTACATTGAATTTGAATTGAAAAATTAGGGCAGTGAAGGGGTTCTTGAAAGCGTCGATCGCCGATGGAGGCGTGGTCGGAAGGTAGTGCGATGGAAGAGTGGGAGAATTGGGCGAGGAATGAGCTAATGGCTGCTGGCTCTGAGTTGGTTGGCAAATTCTCTTTTCTTCAGGTATTTTTCATTTTTTTTTTCAAATAATCTCTTTTGTTCTCTTTCTCCCATGATCGAGGAGGATTCATATGTTTATTTTTCCATTGTGGCATCACCATTTTTACCATCTTCCTTTTCTCAGAATAGCTTCTTCCAGTTCAACAAACAGTCTTCTTTTCACTCACAATTCATCAGGAATTAGAGTCATGGGATAATTCTACAAGACTGCAACAGGTATAATGAACTACAACAGCTGTTGTCTTAGTCAATAATTGCTTCTGTTGATAGCATCTTAGCTTTTCAGGGATGGAGGAGGCCGCTGTTGAACAAGAAACGGCTGTCTGAAATGTCCAATGACCCAAGGTTATGGTATGTTGATTAGCCTTTCTCCATTGATCACATCATTTTATACTTTTTTTTCTATACTTCCAGTTGAATTCAATATTTATCTATCAATTCTATCCAGGTTAGATCAGATTTGCTGAACTTCTGATCTTAGTAACGTCTGTTATCTATCTTCGTCATGGTTTTCTAGCATTCCGAGAAGCTTGTAGCTTAAAAATAGATTACATTAGGTAAAGATGCCTTAAATATTTTTTGATTCCTTCTCTTATTTTCTTTTGCTCTTCTTCACTTTGATCTAACTTTAGTAGCTTACTGTTTCCACACCCTTTGTTTTTCTGGGCATTTAGGATTTTCAGGATGTCAAATCTTAAATCTTAAACCCCAAATCGATCCGATCTCAAATCTTAAACTGTATTTGACACTTTCAAGATATTTCAAATCTTAAATCTATTGCTCTTCTTATCTTGTTCTAATATTTTGAAATAGTTATTCTATTCTCATTCTCTTTCTTTCAATGAACCAAGCATGCTATAAATCTTAATCCTTGATCTTAAATGAATGAACGGATTAGGTATCATGATACTTGCTGAGCTTAGGAACTCCATTGTACTCGAGAATTGAGATTCTTCCTTGTATCTATGAAGGATTTTGAACTTGTGTAGAACAAATGGGTCTGTCCAAGATTACAAATTCTTTTTGCAACTAGGGATACAACTATACAAGAAAGAGGGTTTACTTGTTGAACAAGGAATTGCGGTCATTATGCTTAAGACTGTCCTGTTTAAGTAATAAAATTCAACTCCTAGGTTTATATGACGATCAAACACCACTACATAGTCTTATCCTTAACCAACTCCAGTATTCCTATCTTCTTTCCTCTTTTCATGCAAGTTCCAAACATTTGTTATTTGCCGGGCTGAGTTACTCTTCTTTCTTGTTGTGAACAAAAGCGATCAACTTATTCATCATCTTTCACTTCCTCCTTCCCTCCCCTTCTACCAAACAACACTCCCCATACAAAATCTGCAAAACTATCACCAAAAACCAACTCAAAAACACACTTCCGCAGAGCACAAACCAGGCAAACAAAGATATAACCATTCAATGCAATATCATAACCCTAAACACAGACCAGATAGAAAAGATTCCAGAAATGGTATTTGACTCAAGTGGTCGAGCAAAAACCCGAAAACAAGGGTCATGTATAATTCACAAAGTAGCTACAATAGACTTAAGCATAACGCTCAACATTATTGACTTTCATACAGGAGATACACAAGAAAAAAAAGGGCCCTTGAATACATCATATTATTCCATTTGCCAGCCCAAAGGCAGCAAATAAGGTGCCTCTTAATTCTGTACATTAAGGGCTCCTAACTCAAGGACATTCTTTCTCGTACACTTCACTGGCATATTTCCAGTTGATGACTTTCCAGATATTCTTCAGATAATCTGGTCTAACATTCTTGTACTGCAACATGAAAAGATAGATCGTCAAGGGGCGCATAACAGTATATCATGAAATCAAAGGCAAAATGATTTGTAAAGAATACTGGTTTAAGAAGACCTAGAGATAACCTACATTCTCAATTTTTTTAATCCCTTCCTCATGCACACCCTGATGTAGAAACATATGTACAAAGCAAGACATATGAATGAGAAACATAGAGAGGTTCAACGGAGAAAAAGGGGTTGGGGCAACCATATGATAGTAAATATAAGAAACTACACTGCATTAACCATGACTAGGGGTCTAAACAAGTCCAACGACTCATAAGCTATTCAAGCTCGACTCAGAGAATACTCAAATTCAACTCATTCATTATCTAACTGAGCTCAAGCTCGAGCTTCTCAAGTAATGAATTGAGCTAAGTTCAAACTTTGTATAATAGTGTGGCTCGCAAGCCTTATCAAGTTAAATTTTTTAATATTATATACAAATATAAATAAAATATAACATTTATATACATATTTTAAACTTTTATTTGAGTTTTTTGTCAAACTCAAGTCGAGTTTAGAGATTTTATTATAAAATAATTATAATTGAATTTTACTGAGTTGAGCTTGTGTAGTTCAATTGTTTTTTGAGCCAAGCTTAAGAACAAAAAGGTTAAGCTTGATTGAGCTCGAGCCTTGAGTTTTTTAATCAACCCAAGCTCAAGCCTGACACTGGACTGACTTGACTTGGCTCAATTACATCCCTAACCACACAAGATGCACAAAAAATGAGGTAGCTTTCTCTTATCAGGAAACTAAGTCTATTTAAAATCTTGTCAACCATTAATTGCAGGTATATTATGCAATCTCATAAGCTTATATATGCAACTCAATAAAGTGAACATAGGATCTTTTTGCCACCCCCTCTATTCACTCATTCAATAGGATCGAATAGAGCAAAATTTTCAATTTCTTAATGTGACTAATCAAAGAAGAAGATTCTTTCTGGCAAGACTATTATCCATTTTTTCTCAAAGCAAATTAAAATAACAATGAAAGTTCTGAAAATCAAAGTAAAGGATCCTTAATGTAACAAGGATACTTTGGCATTGGCTTGGTCACTATTAAACAAAGATTGAGCTACTCATCACTGATCTTAATTCACAGTAGATCTCTTACATGCACAACTTAAAGTTTCAAAATTTACCTGTAAATAATATGCATGCTCCCAAACATCTATGCCAAGCAAAGGAACTAAAGTTGGCCCTTTAGTCACTAGTGGATCCTGCAGCAAAGATTTCAAAATTATATTACACCTGCCAAAAACTTTCGACTTCTAATTCTTTAAAATTACAGGAACTCTCAAGAGAGAATATAAACTTAACAAGAATTCAATCTTATAGAAACTGAGCGCAAGTGACCTCTATTTAAAAGAAAAAAAAAACCTCAAATCATAGGCCCATAGAATAAGCAGGGCAATAGAAATAAGCAAATTCACATTCAAGTGAACAAACCAAGAAGCCCCAATAGTTTAAACATACCTGATTTGCAGTTGTTTCAATCACAAGTTTCTTCAATTCCTTGTCCACTCCAAGCCACTGTCAAGATAAAAAGAAAGCAAACAAGAGGAACAAAAATAAACAATGGAAGATGCAAACCATTCATGAACAGGTACATAATAAAATAAAACAAAAATTGAAGCCTTAGAAAAAACAAGTTGCTTACCACCCAACCAGAGCCCTGTAAAGCAGCACCCTCGGCATTCATCTTCTGAATCAATGATTCCAATGAGCCAAAGCTTGTGTCAATAGCCCAACCCAAAGAACCTTTTGGGGGCTCACCTCCTCCTTCCTGTCATGTAAATGGCATATGGTAAGAGAGTCAAGGAACAAAAGACTGGAAGAAAAAAAAAAAGATTAAGAAATATAAACTTACGTGAATAGGGGCAAGATTCTTCCAAAAAATTGAATGGTTGATATGACCTGCATCAGTTACCACTCAATCAATAGCAAACAAAGGATTAAAAAAAAGAAAGAGAACAATGATAGAGGCTACAGCTAACTGTCCTGGACTCTAGTTACTAGGAATTATTCGCCAAGAAAACTTGAGCTATGCTACTATCCAATGGATAGTGTTCTTCTCCAAATTGCACTCATTCATCTAAATTTACTTTCCACAACAATTGCAGATGAAATGAATGAAAACAGAATTTCGATTGGACTGACTTTCCACCCAAGTGAACTTCTGCGTCAGAGCTTTGCCAAACAGAAGTAGAAGAGTAAAATAGCATTTCAACCACTTGCTTCTTTGCTAATTGCTAACTAAAAATTACATTTTTAACATTTTTCACACCCAGAAACGCACTTTCTCTTCTAATCCGATTCAGTCCCAAAATTTCAATCTTTATACAGCAATTCAATTACTGAGTTGAACTTTCAACCAAAAGAACAATACAAAAAAGGAAAAGAAAAGAAAATTATACCTCCGCCGTTGAACTTGATGGCGCTCTGCAACTTAACGGTGGTGGAAGAATCACCCTTCTGGATAGCCTCATGGAGCTGCTCCAAAGCCTTGTTATAGTTAGTGATGTAAGTTTGATGATGCTTCTGGTGATGGAGCTGCATGATCTCTCCACTGATGGCCGGCTCAAGTGCGCCATAGTCGTACGGAAGATCGGGGAGCAAGAAAGTCTGCAATGCGCGAGACTGAGTCAGCCTCGTCGAGTTCAGCCCTAGGGTTAGGGCTTTCCTGGTGGCTAAAGAACGGAGAGCCATTTTGCTTTAAAAAAGACTGGATTTTTCTAAGTCAAGTGGGAAGCTGAAGAAAGGGGAAGCGGTGGGAGGTTTATATAAGGGAGGGGATGGGAGAGGATAGAGTGACAAGCGGCTGAGATAGTGGATTGGGTTTGGGCTTTGATTTGTCAGGAAAGGGAAAGCTGGAAATGGAATCGGAAATCAGGGTGCGACCACAGCCCACAGGGGCTGACAAATGGATAGGGCAGGACACGTAGTAAACTTCACCAACCTTTCTTTGATTAATTAATTTTCTTAAACATCCTATCAAATCAACTAATGAAGATGAGTTATTTTGTTATTAAAAGTAAATATAATCAAATTAATTGATTAAATTCAATTAAAACGATTTGATTAATTCGAAAGTGAGATCGATTAAATCGAAAAGTTTTGAATAAAATTTTTTTAAGGTAAGCTTAAGTATATTCTCATTCATTTTTGTGTGTTAAAACATTTTATTTTAATGTTATTAAACTTATTGTTTTGTTAAATTTTTATAATTTAATTCTATTTTCTATGTAATTAACATAAAAATCAAAAAATGAAACTAAGAAAAGTATTAAAGCCCATGCTTCAAAAAATTTTGATTAATTCTATTATCAATTGATTAATTGGTTAAAATTTTATTTTTATTCGATTCGGTTAATTTTTATGGCATATTTGATTAATTCGGTTATAAAAATTTTTTAACCAAATTAATTATTTGCTTACCCGACACTATAAGGTTTAGTTTAAACAATCGTATACATATTCAATATTTGGCGTAGGTACAAATACTACAATACAAGCATGAAATGAAAAGCATATAAGCATAAATGACCCCGAAGAAGAGTTACTGCTCCTGTTGGGCTTAGTCTTAATGCAAAACGGCTCATTTGTTTGACCTGTATGTTATCCCAAATTGTAAATACTATATATATATATATATATATATATATATATATTGATCTCGTGAATTCTTTTTCAAGTAGTTGATCATATATGATTTTTCTTAGAACGCCTGAGCAAAGATTGAAGTCCTCCCACTGTAACACTGACTGCCCAAATTGTACTTGTAGAGCTCCTCCAAGTACTCTAAGCCTCCTCAAATCACTAGGATCTTGGCTTTACACCACGCAGCAAGCATGATAATAATCAGTTACACCGCAACAGAATGGCCTTTCGTAGCATCTTTTCTTTCAAATAACTTTGCTGGGAGCTCTAAGTGAAGCATCAAACATGGTAGCAGTAGTGGTAAAAAGAAATGTCAGTTGAAAACGAAACTAATGAAATCAAAAGCTTATCATTTTTCTGTTATATTCACTCACATGGTGAGCATACAGAAGGATTGCGTGCATGCGTATGTGTACACATACATTTATGCATATTAAGGTGATAGGAGAATGGGGTTTAGAAGAGCGAATACTCTTAGAACATTTGTATAAAGATTAAAGTATGGTAAAGATATTGACAGTTTTTCTGAATGGGACAGTAGATAATACTAGTATTTATATACTAGGGTGGTTTCTCGTTGTGACAGTTTGTACTTTCTATTTGTAAATATTCTGAATGCCGAAAGACTGAACCTCTAGATGAAGATTGGATGAATGGAATATATCAATTTGGGACCCAATCATATGCTAGCTAAATGCTTAGCTCAAATCCATAGACTGTCCTAAGCAATTTTTTGGCTTATTTTGCATCAAAAACACCAGGTTTCAAGTCTAACTGCTATTCTTAAGTATGTTATCTTCTTTGTTTTTTAAGAGCATTGTGTTTTGTACCATCCAAGAGGACAAATTGTCTAGGGCAGTGGATATTTTGTTCTTTATGTTGTTCTGTTCTGTTTTCATGCTCAATGCAATGAATTCCATATTTTTCTGCTAATACTTACAAGGTCCAAAGTACTAAAAACCTGACTAAACTATATGCGATATTGAATATGACAAAAGTTATTCGAAAATATTAAAGTCTATCCTCAATCGAATCTACGTCTAACTTGCATGTTTCACTATAAATACATGACATGCTTTCCTTCAAAATTCAAGTCTTGTTGAGCCAGAGATTTGTTATCTCATTTGATTGCAGAGCTCTTAATCATATGCTCCTCAAGCGAATGTGAAGCAGCTTCGCCAAGTGATATTTCCAACAGAGGAAATAAAAATGATTATTATAATAGTGGTAGAGAGGGAGGAAGGGGGTTCGTTAATAAATTTCTGAGAAGGTTGCAGAAAATTAAGGTGACACTCTTGCTCTCCTTATTTTTGCACCAAAATGTGGATCTACTTTCTTGTTCATTTCCCTTCTAAATACCTGAAACTTTCCACAGATGTTATTTAACTTTCCATAACTTCCTAGCTACTCACTTGCCATCTTGAGATAATATGGGTATTTCATACACCAATGTACTACATGTAGAAGTTGTTTTCTAGTTAGTGAAAGTACTCTTAATTGTTATGTATATCATTCAAGGGACCAGAGACTAGCATGTTAGATAATGATACGAGTTAAGATTTATCAATACACAATTTAGATTCTCTTATTAGTTTTTCTAACATAGCAAAAGAAACATGCAAAGCAATTAACACCAAACAGATACAAGATATGGATGGCTTAAACTTATCAGCTCTCAAGTGAGCTATACTTCAGGGAGAAATATACTGCTCATGCTGACAGAAAAAAGGAAAAAAAAGTGTGATTTAGAATCTTTGTTGGAATTGTGAATTCTCAAGCAAAGAAGAAAGTTATTGCTCCCCTAACCAAGCTTCATCACAACAAGCATGAATTAGATTAGCTTCATCACTTTCTACTTCATACTTTTCCTTCTACCAACCATTTATGAAAATGATATTGTGCCTGAATTTCCATATTGCCTATTTCAGCTTTTGAAGCTACAATGAAAACTGGTTAAGATTCTTTGACTGCTTGGCAGATGATTTTCCATTATAGGATAGTGTATTAACTTTAACTGACAGATGGTAGTAATACGGGTAAATGCGTTAAAAGCATTAAAGAAGAAAATATACTAACTTAGGAAAGAAATTCAAGGGAATGGTAAGTAATAGCTGTGACCGCATATTTGTTACTCACTTAACAAATAAAGGAGGTGCTTCTTCTCATCCTTCAATACCTCTCCATAATCTATATACGCCATTAAATTCACAGCACATGCTTCGGTATTGTTAGTCATTTAACAAATAAAGGTTGTGCACCGTCTAATTCTTCAATACCTCTCCTTAATGTAGATACTCCTATTGAATTCACAGTGCATGCTTCGGTATTTTCTTAAAACCCTTTCTAAACTTGCAAAGAGGGGAATGGTATTTCATTTATGAGGATTAGATGTAAGTTTTGAGGTTGCACTTTCACTGCAGAGAGGAAACTGCCTTTCTAACGTAGTAGTCAGAAGCAAATTTGTCCAGATATTCATTGTAAAACTACTTGCAAGTTAAGGCTGGCTCCAAGAGAGAAAACAAGTGCCTTGTGTACAGAGATTTAATTATCTCTCAGGGCCAGAGCTAGTCTTTAATAGAATATCTTAATTTTTAAGCAAGAGCCTTGAAGAAATGTTTTCCTAGATCTCAAAAGACACAGAAAAGTCCTTGCGCAACAAGATGGGGTTTTCACTTGATAGATTCATGGTAAATCGAATTTTCAGCTTTATCCAGCAAGCCATTATATTTTTCCAGCTTTGGTTCTTAATTACATTCTTGCTAATGTTATATGATTTTGCATTGCCTAATATCTTATGTCGTTTCTCAGGTTGCAGACGAGCTGATGTCACTGGGGAAAATAGCATTTCCATTATTACTTTCTGGCCTGATTTTGCACTCTAAGTCCATAGTGTGCATGTTATTTTTGGGACATCTGGGGAACATTGAGTTAGCTGGAGGCTCACTGTCAATGGGATTTGCAAATATTACAGGCTACGCTGTAATCAAGGGTCTGGCTATGGGGATGGAACCTATATGTTGCCAAGCTTATGGAGCCAAAAAAGGGACAGTTCTTAGCCAAACTTTTAAACAGACCCTCTGCCTCCTATTACTTGCAGCCATTCCAATCACCTTATTATGGCTGAACATGGAGCCCATCCTTCTGTCATTTGGTCAGGATGAGACCATTACATCAGTGGCAAAGGTATTTATCACATACTCCATTCCTGAATTGCTTGCCCAAGCTCTCCTCCATCCTTTGAGAATTTTCATAAGGGCACAAAATCTAATCAAACCCCTCCTTCTGTCTGCAACTTGTGCAATGATCCTCCACCTTCCAATCAGCTACTTCCTTGCAATATATTTGGATTTGGGGGTTAGAGGAGTTGCTCTGGCCTCTGCTTGCAACACATTAAACTTAAGTTTAGCTTTGCTAGCATATCTCTTCTTTTCAGAAACAGCAATAAAGCCTTGGGATGGTCAAGCAGTAACCAAATCCTATCGAGTTTGGCACCCACTGCTGACGCTCATGGTTCCAAGTGTATTATCTGTGTGTTTAGAATGGTGGTGGTATGAGATAATGGTGCTACTATGTGGTTTAATTAATAATCCAGAGGCAAGTGTGGCTGCAATGGGAATTCTCATACAAACAACGGGAGTTCTTTATGTTTTTCCAAATTCTCTAAGCTTAAGTTTATCAACGCGTGTTGGGCAAGACTTAGGGGCTGAAGCGCCCGCACAGGCACGGCAGATAACCATTATAGGACTTATTATAGCTATGGTATGGGGACTAGCAGCTTTCGCTTTCACAATTGCAGTAAAGGATGTGTGGGGAAAGGTATACACAAGTGAGCCTCAGGTTCTTGCATTGACATCAGTTGTCTTACCTATATTAGGCCTCTGCGAGCTTGGAAACTGTCCTCAGACAGCAGCATGTGGAGTCCTGGTAGGTTCTGCTAGACCTAAGGTGGGTGCTTGCATAAATTTTTGTTCATTTTACCTTGTTGGTTTGCCTGTTGCTGCTCTCGCCGCTTTTAAATTAGAGATTGGTTTCCTTGGGTTGTGGTATGGGCTTGCTGCAGCACAAGCCTCATGTATGTGTTTGATGATTTGCACTCTAGTTTTCACTGATTGGAAGCACCAAGCTAAGAGAGCCAAGGAACTGACTCAAGCCACAGAGGACCAGAAAAATGATCTGGAAGCCGATCTTCTTAGTTGATTGTAGTTTTCTAGTAATTCAAAACTAGAGCTCTTCTAACATGAGATGATCCCCTAATAAGATAAACTAGCAAAAGATCTTCATGTTCCTTTTTTACTTGCTTTTATCTATTTTGGTCCTTTTTCTTCGGCAGCCTGGGAGAACCAACATTGTTGCCAGCTTATAGGATATGCATTGGTAGAATAGCTGTACTTCTCTGCAAGTAACAGAATTGACAAATTTTATCTTTATTACCTAATTGTGCAATATGAAACCAGGTTGCAAGTCAAGAGTCTTTAACATTCAATGCCACCACCCCTGCATCTAGTCTGCTGATCCATCTGTTGATCTTCAGCGCATGTACTCGATATAGAGTTTGCAAAGCCTTGATGCAGGCAAATCTTTGCCGTTTCGCTGTCTAAGGGACGATTTCAGGACAACATCAGCTTTCGCTGCTGATGCTGCACTTCCCATTTTCAGCTCTTGGTGGAGGCCTGGATTCACCATTATTTTTCTATGACAATATCAGAAGAGAGAAACCTTAGGCAAGTTTTTCTTTTCGGAAAATTAGTTGCAGATGATGATAGACATGCCCAGGATGCATGCCAATGCAGCATTGGTTGCTAGTGTGGTATTTCCAGGGGCCAAGATGCCATTGCCAAAGGCTTTCATTATGAATCCCATGAGTGCCATGATAACTCCAGGGCCATTCCTGCTAATGCAAACTCAAGGTCAACAAGAAACATTGGTCTTGAGATGCCTAGCCAGAGAGCAGACAGCAAGATATGGCTTTCAGGATAGAACAATGGAAACCTGGATTACATAAATCAGAAAGTAGAGGTTCAGGGAAGGAGTTGCACCACACAAAGGCTAGAGAATAGAATGCCAGGATAATCTGGTTTAATCCAAACCTGATACCCCATTATCAATTGATTTCTGTTTCATATAAAACATATAAAAAAAATAATGTCATGATTAAAGGAGTATAAAAAATATATTAACTTTCATAATTAATAATTAATTAAAATATTATTCATCATTTTATATTTAAGTGTCATAATCGTAAAAGTGAAAATATAATATGATTATGTCATTATATCGTATAAAAAAATCACATTAGCATTTATGGCATGTTTGAATGCCACTTTGTATAAAATTATAAATAATAGTTTGATTAATTATTTAATTAAAATAAAAATATAAACAATTTAATTAAATTATTATCTCAAATATTACATCAATAAAAAATAAAATAAATTTTTATATATAAATATGAATTTTTAACTACTTATCAAATATATTGAGAATGTGACATGTAATTTATAAATTTATTTAATAAATTTTATAAGAAATACAAGAATCAGGATAAATTCAGACTAAATGTATTAAAAAATAATAAATTATTTAAAATTTTGTGAATAATTTAGGAATTTTTAAATATTACGTCATTAAAAAAATTTCTCTGGACAAATATTAGATACACGTCAGTCTGGTCGTCTCATATATATAAATCAGACAGAAAGAACAAAGAAAGGAACTTTCTTTCTTCCCAAAATAAATTGAAGAGAAGGGTCTGAGTGGTTTTTTGTTCGTCGACTCTGTCATAGATCTGGGACCCTGCAATTTGGCTTCAAAGAGAGAAAAAATTCTGCAAGATTCGAAATTTGTGGGTGTTTTTTTTTTTTATGTTTTTTCATTTCTGGATTGCAAGTAATGGAAAATTCTAGTAACACTGATGGGGAAGAGTCAAGAAATCAGACAATACCTTCCACTTCTTCAACAACATCCTCCGGTGGTTACCGTTTGTTTGGTCGTCAGGGTTCACTTCACCAGTTTCTGGGTGGTGGTAAAGGTACAAGAAATTGAGACAGAAAAAGACCCATCTTTTATTTTCTTTTCCATTTTGTTTTTCTCTCTTGTTCGTTCTTGCCTTTCGATGAAATCAACTGAATTGCTTTAGCGGATAGGTGATTCTTGGGGTACTTTGATGTTTCGTTTAAATAGTGCTCTTTGGAATTGTAATGAAATGTTAGGCAAATAAGATTATAATGGGAATTGAATTTTAGGGACAAGAAGTGATAAATAGGATTAAATTTTGTTTAGGAAAAATGGGGTGATCCTCCCTCTGTACGCAGTTATGCTTTAGTAGAGTTGCGCATTCGTGCATAGGCCAAATGACATGCTATTCTTACAATTTGAGGCTCACTGTTTTGAGTTTTCTTCTTTTAGAGAGATGCAGATGTTCTTTTATTTTGTTTTGGTCTTGTCTATGCTATGCTACTCTTACGCAAATCTTCTTTTCCCACAATATTGGTGTGGTAATATCGTTTTGCAAGACATTGGTTCTTTATTTATTTTCACAAGGGTGACACCATGGAGTGTACCCTTTTCTTTTCTCTTGATGGAGGGTGATTGGTTTTACAAATTTTGCTTCTTGTGCTCCTAGGGGCTGATATACTCTTGTGGAAGCGGTGGCAGAATTCTTTTGGTGTCATTGTTGTTGCTACTGTCGCTTGGCTCATATTTGAGCGGTCTGGATTACCATTCTTGTCCATTTGTTCAGATGTCTTGCTGATATTAATTGTATTGTTGTTTGTCCGTGCCAACTATGCAGCTTTTAGAAATAGGTATGACTAATATTTCCTCTATATGTGTTCATTTCTTTTTTAGTATTGAAGCCATTTTTGACAATGATGCCTGTGTATTGTTTAAGCAGACAACTACAAACATTACCAGAACTTGAGTTGTCAGAGGAAATGGTTAATAATGCTGCAGCATCATTTCGTGTTAAAATCAATAATGTGCTTCTTATGGCTCATGATATAACTCTTGGCAAAGATTTTCGTCTTTTTTTCAAGGTCAGTTTAAACCAGTTGTATTTTATCTAAGCATTCTGTGCTGCAATATATACACATACAACAAAGGGAGAAAGAATCAACGTTGAAATAGAATTCCATGTGTACAGCATTGTGGTATTGTTGGTGGAATTATCATCTAGTTAATATATGATTTATTATTATTATTAATATTATTGAAGGTAGTCATTAGTATGAAGTGTGTTTCAGTGCGGTGTAGGAAAGCAGAGTATTGGCAACCCCCAACCCACCAACCCACCCACCGAGGGCCAATATCTCACAAATTGGGAGTAGATCAATTAATCATACATATACTCTATTTCACTCTAATGTCATCTCCCAAACAAGATTGATTGTCTGAACTTGCCAATTTAACTATGAACTTCATACTTAAACCTTGATTGCTTTCAAACAGATGGTTCTTCTTCACCAACTGCCCTTCCTCTTCCAGCAAACACTGTCCTGTTCATTCTAACCTATCCTGTTTATTGCCCAGATGGTTAATCAATAGTTTGTATCAGGTTTCTATTTGCTACATGCCATAAACGATTTCTATGATGTTTGTATAGGGTCCGGGGTTCTACCCTGCTTTTGCAATCTCACTAAACATGTTTCACTCTACCTGCTTTTCTGTCCTTATTTATTTATTTATATATTGGGGTGGGGAAGGCTGGTGCTTGATGAAGTTTTCTAACTTTTAGTTCACTTGGCAGGTTGTGATTTGTCTATGGCTCTTATCTGCCATTGGTAGTTATTGCTCTTTCTTCACACTTGCCTATATTGGTAAGCAGTTCATCTGTCAACTGAATGCACATTCATCTTCCTTTTTGATTTGTGGATATAATTAGTATTCTTTCTCTTTTGGTTTGACTGATATAACGTTAAATGTAACTAAATTTGCCCTGGTTGTTTTAATCACAACCTAGTTTGGTTTATTTCTGGTAAATGACCATGTATTTGTGTTTTTAAAAATTAATAAAATCTGATATCAAGCTCCTGATACAAACTTTCTAGCTGGCTTGACCTCATGGGATCTTTTGCATATCTATGCCTGTTTTTGCAAATTAATTCAGAATGGGAGGCATTTTGTCAATGAACTTTCTCTCATTGTGTAGGAATCGTCAATGATGCACTCATTTACTTATAATGTATTTGCCATTTGTTTATCGCAGGAACCATCTTATCGATTACCATTCCTGTCTTCTATAACAAATATGAAGAACGTGTGGATAAATGCTGTGGAATGATCCACCGAAAATTTTCCCAGCACTATAAGATAGTAGATGAGAGTGTGACTAACAGAATCCCCCGGAGTTTATTCAAAGAAAAAGATGTCTAAGTTTCACATTTTACAAAGAGGTTATGACTGCATGCTGTACTCTTGGAGTTTCACCTACCAACACAAAGTCTTTGATGTTTTGCTTCACTTTAAATGAAAGCAGATTTTTGTAATCTGTTAATGTCATCTACATGTTTTCACCATCAGTTGAGCTGCAACTGTGTACAGTTCTGCTAAATGCTTCTTCCACATCAGAGTGGAAAGGGAAAGAAGGTTCAGGGATTTCTATAGATCTGCTCTACCAAGATTCAGCAAGTCTCATTTGTTGTTGTTGATTCTTGAAGAGCCTTTGTGGTCTGTGTGGAGCTACTGCATGGTGGTAGGGGAGTTGAGCCGATGTATATCATTAAAGTTGAGGTCTTGACACAACTTGATGTATTGCCTCAGAAGAGCATATCACATCCATTGTTTTTGGGGATCTATTGTTACTAAATAAACTGAAAGGATGTATCTTGAGTTGCTTGTTTGATATATCTTTTTCTTTCCTTAGTTGATTTTGGATGCACCATTATTGTCATAATGATTCGGAAATCCTGAAATCTCTTATGACTTGTGAACAACTTGTTGAGGTTGGCTGTGTGGTTTGCCTCAACTCTCCTCTGGTAGTTTAATGTCTATTCCTCAAAGAAATGCTGCTAAAACCTCTTATACCATATTATGCATATTATTGACAAAAGAAGCTCCTGATTTTGGTCAAAATGATGAGGAAAATCAAAGAAACTCAATCTTATCTGGGCAATTTTACCATTATATTTTTATGTTCACTGCTTTCCAATCCACAAACAGGAGAGATAAGGCAGCAGCAACAGCCAGGGAATTGAGGGCAAACAAATATTTGCCCAAACTGAAGACACCATATCTAGACCATTAATACCACACTAGCACGAACATGCATTTTGTCTACAGATAAGCATAGATGCCTCAAATTCATCTAAAGTTCTGGAACCTCACAAACCAAAAATTAAAGCAATCTCTCATAATTGCATGCAGGCCTCCAAGTCAATTGATATACACATCTAAAGTTTTGCAGCCTCAAGCAACAAGGTAGAGCGACGTAATTCTAGCTGCTGTCATGAACTAAGCTTGGAGTAATTCCTTTGCCTTGTTCAACCAAACATTGTAGATTTGATCTGAGAAAAGAACAAAGTGCACCTGCAACCAGCAACTAAAGTGAGTGCCAACCAACTTCTAACAAAACACTGATAGACATATCGAGTTCTTCTCATCCCTTGAAATCAGGGAACAGGTCTGGTAAGGATGGATCTAGTGAAACGAGGAGGAAGAATTTGGCATGAATTGCCATAGAGGGTGGCCATTTGTTACCCTCGGTGATGACAAGAAGGCAATGAGCAGATGATGGTATTTGAGCCAAGAGTCAAACAAGAGTTGGCCTGGTATTTGCACCAAACAACATTATCATCTTGGACAGTTGGACGGGAAGATGGTTAGTTGGGGTTATGTTAATGGTGCTCTTTGAAGTTTAAACTCAGATGCCAAACCAGTCAGAAGAATAATATAGGATTATAGATCATGCAAAAGCCTTCAAAGCTCCAATCATCATAAAAAGAAATGCTTTCATAAGTTTCACTTTTTACATGTTTGAGAAAACAATATAGGAAGCTGTAATTGGTATTGGAGACTGCATGTTCTTGGAAATACTGAAACTAAGCAAAAGAAGAATGATAAAATAACGTAAAAATTGGGATTTAAACAAGTGAATGTAAAAATTAGGGTTTAAACAAGTGAAATGGAGGAATCAATCAACAGTGGAGAAAAACCATGGACTTCAAGATTGTCAATCCGAACAAAAACAGAAGTACATTACCTCTTTAATGTCACCTGCAAATTCTTTGACAGTAGATATAGCAACCGTAGCAGCCTCCTCAAAAGGATATCTGCAAAGTTTCAGAAAGGAAAAAGGAAAAGATCAACTGGTGTTACTTTTTCTACAAACAATTGGACCTAGCTAATTCAGAATCCATAGTCACATCAAGATTTCATTAACTAGATGGATATAGAATTTTGCAGAAGAAAATGACTCTCCAATAAACTTATCTATGAGGCCAGAAAGTTATACATGTCATCCACATCTCCAATTGAACAGCATTCTTTAATAAACTTATCCTCACAGAAGGCCAAAACAGATGCAATTCAGCCAAAGTTACCTTAGAATACTCGTCTATTTCCAACAAGAGCTTTGCAATGGAAGTCACAATAGACTAAGCTTTTTGTCCTTGATCATGTATATGCAAAAGTTTCAACTGCTTTCTAGGACAAGGGGGGAGAAGAAGAGAGGGGGTTGGGGAACAAGCAGGAAGCACATGGGTGGTTCCTTAGCATTACTTACCCATATACACCACAGGATATTGCAGTAAAAGCAATGTATTTAACATTGTTCTATTTAGCCACACTCAAGCAGTTCCTGCAACCAATTTGGGAAGAAAAAGAGATCTTGTTTTAGAATGATAAACAAAGCAAACCAATAAAAATGATGGCAAGAAGCATCATATCAATGCGTACTTGTATGCATTTGTCAAGGAAGCTTTGGGGTCTTTGTCAGAATCATAGATTGGTCCAACAGTGTGAATCACATGAGATGCAGGCAGTTTGAGACCTCTGCAACACTTTAAAAGGTTAGGATGACAGCAGCAGTACACTAGTGATTCTCAACTCTAATATTAGTTAGGAAGAAACTTACGGGGTAATCCTTGCTTCTCCTGTTGGACAGCGTACTTCAGGTTGAACTTCAGGGACTTTATAGCATGCTTCCAGGAGTTCTGGTCCAGCAGCCTTATGTATGGCTAGTACATATCCATGCATCAGAAACATTGGTCATGGCAGGTTCATTTCTTGTATGACACTAAGAAGGTTAAAGAGAAACTAAGAAGAAGAAACTCAGCAAGATCTTGAATTCTTGTATAACATCGGCCTCTCCAATTATTATCAATCAGTTTAAGGTTAGATACCCATACTAAAAATTTATCACAAGAACATATATGCCTCCATCTGCACCACCACCACCAAGCATTCTCTCGTTTGCTGGATTGACCTGCAAAAAGCTTGTCATCACACTATTCAGTTCTGTGCATATACATAAGAATCCCACGAAGGAAACATACATAACCATCATTGTAGATAAACTAAAACTTCATTTATTTGTTGTTTCCATGATTGGGTTTTCAGTTTTTTGTAACATTATTCATATAAAGCTCATAGAAAAAGAAAATTAAAAAGAGAGAGAGAGAGAGAGAAAAAAGAACTGACAATAGCATCAGAGGAGCCATCAACAAACCACAGAGTGATGTCACCTTTCTGGATTTTAAGTTCAGTGGTTTCAGACAACTTGAAATGACCATCTTCTCCCTCAATTTCTAACTCCATCCTTGAAAACCCAACGACCTTAAAAGCCGCCGCTGCTGCTGCTGTCGATGATGATGGTGGCGACAAAGAGAGTTTAAAGATGTTTGGGATAGTACGATGACTTCTGCTTAAGATTCTGTACCACCAGAGGTTTGGGTTATACGAGGAAACACTGGCAACTTTAATATTACAAAAAGTAGAAGCAGTTGCGAGAATGGGGTTCCCTCTTCCTCCACTAGCAAAGAGAATGGAATGTCTTGACATTTGTTATTTGTTTATTGGTTCGTTGCCAGATGTATTGTACCATACGTTTCAGCCTATTAAATGGAATTGGACTGAGTGTTAAGCCTGATGATAAGTTTGGGCCGGGCGTGGAAATGGCATGACACTGTCCTAGAGACAGGTTAGGAATAGGACTGATAATGATGATGTCCACAGCAGAAGCTTGCGCTTGGTACATGTCTATGTTTTCTCATAGTATTCATTGGCTCTCAAAGGTCAGCATCTTCAATCACCCCTTTGATCAAGAAACAATAGAATGGAAACTTTGAAGGTTATATTCCTGTTGTTGAAATACAGCAACTGAAATAACCTAGTCGATGCACCAGACAAAGGAGAAGTATGTGGACTTGTTCGAAAGGAGGGATCAATTTATCGTTCGAGTCTGACAGGATAGTTCCTGGAAGGTGATTGGGACCTGGAAAACATATGACAGAAACCCTTTTAGATACTCGAAAACAGGATCAACCTTATATTATGCCCGTAGTTATGCACAATGGCTTGGATACATAGATAGTTGTTGACCCTGATAGTCCAAAAGAAAGCAATTCCCTCATAGTTCCATGCATGCCTTCAAGCTAATATTACAGATACATATAAACTTGTGCACCCTCAAGTATAAAGGAGCTTAATTCTACTCAGTATCATGCGCTGAAATAGAGGAATATCAAAGCTCTTACAAACAAGAAGTGACATTGGCATCAGGGGAGTCATCAACAAACCCCGGAGTGATGTTACCTGTCTGGATGTTAAGCTCAGTGGTTTCAGACAACGACCATCTTCTCCCCCCAGTTGCTGACCCCATCTTTGAAATCCCAACTGCCTTAAAACGCTGCTGCTGATGATGATGGTGATGGTGATGGTGATGGTGATTTCTGCTTCAAGATTTTGTACCAGCAGACGTTTGGGTTATACGAGGAAACACAAGCAAAAAGTAGGAAATAAATTAAAATAGTATTATATAACAAAGTTTAAATTACATTTCCCAAAAACTTTATAATCCAAAATAGCAAATAAATATAAAGAATCCCACCTAACAAAAAACAGAATAATAAACACAAAAACACGTTTGTACTTCAAACCACGAAATGAACTAATTTCTTCATGATTCTCTAAAAAAAAAGCAATTAATTAAACTTTTAAATAAAATTTAAAACAACCACATATTTAAAACATTAACATTTCACTTAATAACACTGCAATTATAGTTTTTATTAAATAATTAATTTAAGGGATATAAATTATAAAAATGTACGTGAAGATCTTAAGAAGACTTACGTCAATTATACGGTGAAAAAATAAGAGAGAAGTTCACGATTATCGGGGATTGAGAAATTACATTTTAATCTAAAAGTATCAAAATGTTATGCATTATTGACATAATTTACTCAATGAAATAATTAATTTAGAATTTTGGTATATATAAAAAATAGAAATTAATAAAATATAGTTATAGTATTTATTTTGAATGCTTTAGTTTTTTGTTAACACTTTGAAGTACAAGCTTGCATGTAGTAGTACTTGGAAAAAGGAAATGGACCAGTTCCTGGACGGTTCCCTGGGTTCCTACAAACATATGACAAGACATAACTAAAGCAGTGCTTCCTTCTGTAACTATCCCCGAATCAGAATGGAATCATCTACAGCCGAAAGGGAAAGGAACCCCAAACCTCATAACTATATATCTGTCAAAGATTCTATTGCATTCTTCTTTGTTTAGTTTACAGAAATGATTCTCACTCTGTTTTACACTGATGTGTTCAGTCTGTTCAATGCAGCTCTGCCCGTTGTGGTATTATTGATTGGTTGGTTGGTTGTTGTTTTTGTGTGAGTTTTGAAGCATGGCGAGTTGGAGCGGTGCCAAGGCTGTGCGGAGCATGTCCAAGGCGCAGGCCATGATGTTTGAGCTTCCTAGCGGTGTTGGAGAGTCGGCTGTAGACAGTGACTTGGTTCCCTCATGTTTGCCTCCATTGCTCTCATTCTTCGAGTTGCCAACGAGATTAAGAATGGTAATCCCAGAAGGTGCCCATCTTTGTAAGCTAGCTCATTCCTGGTGAAAGTTTTTCACGTTTCTTTTCTTCATGAATTGTAGGATAATCTCTCTTGTTATGTGGTGGAGTCAAGCAAGCATATCAGCTTTTATTCCCTGACATCTTCGCTTGTTATTTTTCTTACCTAAATTTGTATGAGTTCCCTGTATATAATTTTTATTTTGCCCCAGCCAAAACTCCATGTTAGAAGAGGCATGCATGAGGACTTCTTCTCACTCCTCAAGTAAGAGGAAAAAAATTGTTTTTGGTTGTTATTTTTCTCAGCCATTCTTGTACATATGCTTGGATTTGAACTGGTTCTGTTCAAATAACTGTATGCACCCCGGTACACAGTGATTTGGATAATGCTGCTAGCCATCAAGCTAACATTCAGCTATTTTTTTGAGGTGATTTCTCCTTCATTTTTGTGAATCAATATTGAAATTCTATATTCTCAAACATTAAACTTCATGGAAAATATTGAGTTCAATTGCATTTATGGGTATTCTTGCCTTTGCCTCTTGGATAGCTAGTTGATGGATAGTATTAGGTCTGCGCAAACATGTCTATATTCATCTTTCTACAATCGTGTCAACTTATAGAAATCACTCTCTTTAACTATATGTTAGAAACAAATGAAGGTTGCTTCTAAGCTCTATATATACTTATTTTCCTTCTAAGATTTTGCCACTTGTGCGACCAACAAAGGAAATTTTTGGTATGCATGATGTAAACTATCTGTTGGAGGAGCTTGTTCCAAATGGTAATACATCTTTTCTTTCATATTTTATTTTCCCTTGTGATTGTTTTACTATCTTCTTATATCTTGCTATAGCCTCTGCAAGTTCATATTCTAAAACTTCTGTAGGTGTTTATAATATCGGAGCTGTTATAGCGATATAGGCTCCAATTATCTTGGTAAGTAAGCGTAGAAGAACCTTCTAGTGGATAATTTGATGTCGGCCATAATTCTTATTAGTACCTATATAACTTTTGTAATTTTCTGAGTGTTTTACTCATGCGTAGGTTTATTTTATGGATAGTCAATTATGGTATGCCATAATTTCTATCCTTTTAGGAGGGGTTCTTGGAGCCCTCAAACATGTGGGTGAGGTATGCTGTAATTTTATGCTCATGCTATTAGCAAAATGTATGTATGTATGTATGTATGTATGCGTGCGCGTGTGTACACATTCATACAGATTACATGCACACCAATTTGTGTGCGTGTGTGTGTATATGTATGATTTTGTGAAAGAACTGAACCTTTCTTTCATTGGAGCTAACCTACTGATCTGTGTTACTTACATCAGGAAGATTGCTTTCTTAACTTCTAGCTTTCATACATTTATTTCTTAGATACATACACTTGGAAAGCTGCCATCAAGATTTAAAAAAGTGCCTGCGGCTTTTGGTCAATGTTTTTTGCCATCAGCACATCATGATTCAAAGAAAAATCTCTCGGTAGTTTATATGAAGATGACTTTGGGGCCTGTTCCTTCTCCATTCTCCATTTCCTTTTTCTTTTGGCTAAATCAGAAAACTCCTTCATGGCAGGATAAATCAATAGAACAAAGAACATGGCAAATTTTTCTCAAATGTGGAATAAATTCATTGATTCCATGCGTGTGGACGATCTAATTAGCAACAGGTGATGACTTCTTGCTGTAAACTACATTCTGTATGAAATATAAAGATATATACAACTCTTTTATTTTCCTTTGCCTGATTATTTTCCTGGGATCAAGAATTGTTGCTTGTCCCATGTTTTTCAAGTGATGACACTGTGATTCGGTGTGCACTTTTCTTGCTAGCTAGTAAGGTAAATACTGTGCAGTAGTTTCTCATGTTTACTTTGACTTGTGATGCAAATTGTTTATGTTATAGATTGTTTCACTTGCAACATGTGACAGATTCCTCCTGCATTGAACATAGCAAAAGAGTTTAAGGGGAAGAACGATGCTGAGTTAATTAAACTGATTAAGGGTGATTTTTATGTGCATTCAGCAGTGATGGAATGTTATGAGATGCTCAGACGTCTTATAGATGGTCTTTTGGAAGATGATGCTGATAAGAAGTAAGGCTGCATCCATATTATTGGCTTGAAGTTACAGATGTAGTCCTGCATGTCATCTAGCAGTTTCACATTGTATATAAGTAATTACTAATCTTTTTGTCTCAATTAATCATCTTCTAATTTTTGTCTTTTTCTCCCCCTGGAATAGGATTGTGATGAAGATTTATGGCAAAGTGGCCAACAGTAGTTGGGAGGGAAAGTTTTTGAAAGAATTCAAGATGAGCAAGATGCCTTTGCCCGGTATAAAGTTGGAGAAGTGGCTAAACATCTTGGTAACAATTGAGCTTAATCTTTGTTCTCTTCTTTTTTGTTTTTCCTTTGCTCTCATTTTCTTGGTTTCATGCTTTTAAGCACTGTGTAACTTGAGTTGGTATGTCACAGATGACTGATAATGACGATGATGAAATATACAAGACCCAGATAACCAAAACCCTGCAGGGTATCATGGATACTGCTCCACATGATGTTATGATTAATGGACAGAAGTAAGCAAAAAATACAAGTTTTTGTATCCCAGTTTCCATGATACTTGTAACTGGGATTACAAACCACAACTTGCCTAGAGATGCCTCAAATGTAGATCTGTAATTTTGATGAAATCCCTGTAAAATAAGCCACCATGACTTCACTCCTAGATGTAGTTTTGTCTTTGCCAAACTCGAAAATACTAGCTTTTCAACCAGGTAATTTGCTGAATTATAATACCACTGAATGAGTCCTCATCACTAATATGGGCAATGAATTTCCTTTTCTCTTTGTAGAACCCATCAAGGAGCTTACAGTTTTCAGAATAGCAAAGTTGGACAAAGTTTTGAAAAGATTAATATTCAGGACAGACAGAACAAATCCTGGAAGGACAAGGCACTGAACTCTGTTCTGAGTATCACTTTAAATATTGTAAATTGAGATTTGCTTCTTATCCTATTCTACCAATTCTCTATAGGTCTCTAGGCTTCATTTTCTTCTGACTTTCAAAGAATCTGCTACTGACGTGCCACCAAATTCAGAGGCTCGACGCCATATTTTTTTTTTTTGCAAATTCACTATTTATGAAGATGCCAAGTGCACCAAAAGTCAGTGATATGCGCTCCTTCAGGTCAGTGACCATTGACAATCTGCAATGGTCTTACACTAAATGACAGCTTTGGAATTATCTGTGTCTAGTTGATGTAAAAGTGAAGGGTTGATGGCTCATGTCAATCTAGGACTATCTAAAATTTTCCTTCCTCCCTTTTTATTTGTCATGATTGTTTAATGATTTCAGGTATTAAGAAATTGTTTTAAAGACCTTATGGTAGTCAGAGAAGATCTTTGTTGTAATTACTTCTTTCCACTCTAACTTTCATATATTTCTCGATTTATTATTTCAGTGTTTTGACTCCATACTACAAAGAAGATGTTATTTATTCTGATGATGAACTTAATGAAGAAAATGAGGATGGGATTTCAACTTTGTTCTACCTGCAGAAGATACATATATCCATGTGAGTTCCGGATTCACTTCTGTATTAATTTTGTTATCATCTGAAATAACATGAACTTGTTAAGCTAGTAACTTCTGTATACTAGATGAATGGACCAACTTCCAGGAGCGCATTAATTACAAAGAGGACAAGGAGGATATATGTAACTGGGCAACCAACAGAGGACAGACACTTTCTAGACCAGGTCTGGATGATGATGGTCAACTTAACAATCCGCCATAAACTAACTATATTAATGGACTATTATATGCAGACATCTGATATGGCAAAATCATCCTATATGTTTCTGCCAGTGCGAGGGATGATGTACAACAGGAAGGTTCTGGAACTTCAATGCTCCCTGGATTTCCCTAATCATAATGGTTTGTGGCTTTCTAAGACAAACATTCTGTTAGAAATATGAACTGTTATCTTCATTTATTCATTTCAGTATCATCTACCTTTCACGATTATTACTGCCAAATATCATGCCATGCAACGTTAACAGTATATTGACTTTGCAGCTATTTCAAGGGAGGAGGATTCTATTCGAGTGCAAGCTCTGCCTGATCTAAAATTCACCTATGTTGTATCTTGTCAGATCTATGGAGCTCTGAAAATTTCTGATGATTCTAAAGACCAACATCGTCATAAGAATATTGTGAATCTCATGTTAATGTATGTTATCTATTGGTGTCCTATTATAAGACTATAATCTTCCTTGTAAATTGAAACTTTTGATGGAATCACTTCTTATTTTAATATTGTACAGGCATCGATCTCTACGTGTTGCTTATATTGATGAAAGAGAGGAGACTGTTTATGGAGAATCTCAAAAAACTTATTACTCTGTTCTTATCAAGTGAGGTGATAAATTTGATGGCTATGAAAGGGTGAGTGCCACTTAGATAAGGTATTCATTCTTCTTTTTTCGCATTTGTTAGTCTGAGTATGTAATAGGATGCAATCCTCCATAACCTATTGGCTATCTAGTCATCCCCATCCCATTTATGGTCTGCTTGATCCCAATGGGGCATCGTTGGGGTTGAGTGAGTCTTGTCCCTAATGGGGTGAGGCATTGTATTCTTTAACCTGCTGCCCCAACACACATAGTCATGATTACTATTTGTTTTATTTGGATTATTTCCTACAATCCACTGGCTTTTCATGCTTTCTCTTGGTTCTTGTATGGATGGAAAATAATCAAAAAACATGATGTTATGAATAGTGATGACAATCCAATAAATGATGCTATGAATTTTACTATGACATTGTGCCTGCTTTAGAACATCAAAAACATGATAGTGAAAGAAAAATGCTCGTCTCTCTGTTGGATTAGGTATGTGTCTGGGCCATACATTTGATCGAAAGTCAGAATTATCACATGCTTACTGATGTTTTGTCCTACAAGCTTATGTCAATTTTCTAACATAAGTAATTGTTTAAAACATCCTTGCACATTGAATATCCATTGTACTTCCAGGAAATATACCGCATCAAACTTCCAGGTCCTCCAAAAAATGATGGTGAAGGAAAACCTGAAAACTAAAGCCATGCCATTATCTTTACCCGCGGAGAAGCCTTGCAGAATATAGACATGAATCAGGTAGCTTTTCTACCTCCATCTCAAGATATAGACATCAAGGTTCTAGAATATCTTATAATACCTTTTTTTTTAAGGATAACTTTTTTGAAGTGGCCTTTAAAATGAGAAATGTTTTGGAAGAGTTTGAACACTCCCATAGCTGGCAACGTAAACCAACAATGTTAGGTCTAAGAAAGCATATACTTACAGGAAGGTTAGTCTGACCAGTTGTCATTATAAAGTCATTATAAATTTAATTGATCTCTATAAGTTTAACAGATATGCACAAGCAAGTCAAAATGCAGCCATTCTGCAGATTGGCTAAATACTAATATATGTTTATACTTTTTAATTTTCTTTTACAGTGTTTCATCACTTGCTTGGTTTATGTCGAATCAAGAGACTAGCTTTGTAACTATCGGCCAAGGTTTATTAGCAAGTCCTTTAAGGTACCCTCAAATTTTCATCTTGAGTAACTGGTTACTTAGGAAACATTGTACAGGGTTGTTGCTGCTATACACATTGAACTGAAGGTTAAATGGTTGCTTGTGCTACTTAGTAACCTATCAAATAATAGTGATAAATAAACAAAATCTAGGAAATCTTTCAACACTCCAACTACAGGCAAAAGAATGGAGCCAAGTCAAGCTTCTCTTGCTCCAGCTCCATTTGTTAGTTTTCAAGAGCTCGATGTCAAAAATTGATAACTCTTCGAAGTTAGGGAATTATAACTTTGTTACATATCTCTGGTATGATTCTATTTATTTCTATCATAACGATCATTGTTTCTATCATTGCAGGGTACGTTTCCATTATAATTGCAAGTGGAAATGGAGAGCAAACACTTAGTCGTGATGTGTATCGCCTTGGATGTCAATTTGACTTCAATAGAATGCTGTCATTCTACTTTACAACTGTTGGTTTCTATTTTAATAGCATGGTGAGCAAACCAAACTAATTTTCTTTCTTTATAAAGTGGTTTTATGTACTTGAATATGGTGAATAGATAACCTTTAGGTGATCAGATCATTACCCTACACTCTTTGCAAAGGAATAAACATGAATTTCCCTGATATCAGCATTAAATTGTTTCAGGTAACCGTGCTTACTGTATATTTCTTCCTCTATGGACGTTTGTATTTGGTTATAAGTGGAATGGAAAGAGACATTGTAAACAATTCAATTATAAGTTGGAACAAGTCTCTAGAAGCAGCTTTAATTCCTCAGTCGGTCTTTCAAATGGGCACGCTATTGGTCCTGCCTATGCTTATGGAGATTAGCCTGGAGAAACGGTTCCGTACTGCTCTGGGTGATTTTATCATCATGCAGCTGCAGCTAGCCTCTGTGTTCTTTACATTTCAGCTTGGAACAAAAGCACATTATTTTGGGAGAACAATCTTGCATGGAGGTTCTAAATATGGAGCTATTGGGCGTGGATTTGTTGTTTTTCATGCCAACTTTGCTGATAACCATAGACTCTGCTCACGGAGTCACTTTGTGAAAGGGTTAGAACTCAGCATACTATTGATCTTGTACCAAGTTTATGGGGAATCATATAGCAGCTCAAATATTTATTTGTTAATCACATGCTCAATCTGGTTGCTGGTTGGATCCTGGTTACTTGCTCCCTTTGTCTTTAACCCTTCCGGTTTCGACTGGCAAAAGGCAGTGAATGATTGGACAGCCTGGAAGCGGTGGATAAGAATTCGTGGAGGTATTGGTATTCGGCCTGAAAAAAGTTGGGAATCATGGTGGGATGGAGAACTTGAGAACCTTAAATACACAAACATACTAGGAAGAGTGCTTGAGATTGCTCTTGCACTTTGCTTCCTCGTCTATCAATATGGGGTTGCCTACCACCTTAATATAGCTCATCACATAAGGAGTTGGCTGGTATAATATGCTATTTTCACTGATATAAATTTGTTTTTTCTTGCCCTATTGAAGATCAGTTAGGTTGCAAGACCATCCTCTCTCTGATGTTGCTACCAAGCTTATAACGTACAATACTGCAGGTTTATGAACTCTCTTGGCGTGTTTTGGTAGCAATGCTTTTATTGTCAAAGGTACCATGTCCTTGTTTCAATAACATGATTAAAAATGTTCAGGGTAAACGATGTGAGTAGTTTATTGGGATCCTGGAAAACATATCACAGCAACCATTTCAAACACTCCAAAACAGGATCAACTTATATTATGCCTGTAGTTATGCAAAATGGCTTTGATACGTCGATAGTTCTTGACCCTCATAATCTGAAAGAAAGCAATTTCTTCATAGTTGCATACATGCCTGCAAGCTAATTCAGATACATATAAACTTGTGCGCCCTCAAGTATCAAGGAACTTAATTCTAGTCACTATACTGCACTAAGCCTGGAGCAATTCCTTTGCCTTGTTCAACCAAATATTATAGATGTCATCTGCAAACAGAACAAAGTGCACCTGCAAACAGCAAGTCGAGTGAGTGCCAATCAGAAATTCATCTATTATCTTGACGATATAGAAATATGGATCATGCAATCAGAAGTTAATTTATTACATACAAATGAGAAAACAATAAAGGATCTGTCCCAAATAAAGGAAGAAGAGAAAACAATATAGGAAGCTCTTCTTTTATGCGTGTATGGGGGCAAAACAAGTAAAGTAATGTACAATGGGACATAAGAATTGAAATAAGGGGAATCAATCAACATTTAAAAGAACTCTTGGATGGCAATATCGAAACAGATACCTCTTTAATATCATTGGCGTATTCTTTGACAGTAGATATGGCAACAGTAGCTGCTTCCTCAAAGGGATATCTGGAAAATTTCAGAAAGGGAAAAAGATATTAAATATGAAGTGATGAAACGTTTTCTACAAACACCCAAGCTAGCATATAAAGAATCCATAATCAGACTAAAGATTCATTGCCCAAAAGGTATAGAATTTGACAGAAGATAATGCTGTTCTCTGAACAAGTGACTAGAAGATTAAACTATTTCGATTATGAGTTCATGCACCTTCAAAGTCCAGAAAGTTAGACCAAATTACCCAACAATCCAACATCACCAATTCAACACCTGTCCTTAACTAAATTGTCATCACAGAAAGCAAAAACAGGTACAGGTCAATGAGAGGGGAAGCGGGTATGAAGAAAGCCTTTGTTGGTTCCTTAGAGTACTTACCCATATACACCACAAGATATGGAAGGAAATGCGATGTATTTAATGTTGTTCTCTTTAGCCACAGTCAAGCTATTCCTGTAACCAGTTTCAAAAGAGAATAGGCTTTATTGAGAACGATAAACTAAGCTACTAATATGAATGGTGGAAAGGAACAACATAGCATACTTGTATGCACTGCTCAGGGAGGCTTTAGGGTCCTTGTCAGTATCATAAATAGGTCCAACAGTGTGAATCACACGAGATGCAGGCAGTTTAAAACCTCTGCATACATTTCAACACGTCAATATGCTAATCATGCCCAACATTTGGATGACAACACCAGTAAACATTATCTAATTAGGAAGAACTTACAGCGTAATCCTTGCTTCTCCAGTGGGACAGCGGACACCAGGCTGAACTTCTGGGACCTTATAGCATGCTTCTCGAAGTTCTGCGCCAGCAGCCCTGTGTATGGCTAGTAAAATGCATCAATGGTCAGTAAAAGTTCATCCTTGTACGACATTAATATGGTTCAAAATGAGGATAAAAAAAAAAGGAGAACTTTCTGAGCAAGAATACCTCCATCTGCGCCACCACCTCCAAGCATTCTCTGGTTTGCTGGATTAACCTGCAAAAGATTATCATCACTAGTATCACTGTGCTCAATTCTATCATCAAAATGGGCGTATGTACAAAACAAAACCATGAAGGAAACATAACCATCATTTCAGATTGAAATAAGAAAATCTCTAGGATTGCAAGAAATCCCTCCATTTGGACTAGCCAATTCAACCTTCTATTAATCTATTACCCGAATAGAAAATTCTGCTCCCTAATCCCATGAACAAATATGGTTCAAATATGATAAAATATCAAGAATAAATCATCAACAAATACCAACAGAAAACAAAAGGAACTAAAGATTAAAGGAAAGGGAAGAGAAACACTGACGATAGCATCGGAGGCGCCATCAACAAACCACCGAGTAATATCACCTTTCTTGATTATAAGTTCACTAGTTTCAGACAACTTGAAATGACCATCTTCTCCTCCAGCTGCTGATGCCATCTTCGAACAGCCAACAACCCCACAACCTGACGGTGAAGTTAAAGAGAGTGTGAAGATGTTTTGGAAAGTACAGTGATTGCTGCTGAAGATTTTGTACGAAGTGGGATATGGGTACGAGGAAAAACTAACAATTCTAATACTGGAAGAAGCAGAAGCAGTTGTTAACGTGGGGAAGTATTGAAATGCTAGTAACCTGATTCCTCTGCCCCCTCTAAACAGCATGGAACTGCTTGACATTTGTTTTTGTTGCTATAAATTTATCAATGAACAGAATATCAGAAACAGTTACATGCTGATGGGATTTTTGTCTTGAAAACCAAAAAAAATCCTTCGAGCATTTTTCCATTCTAAGAGCTCATAACCCAACCCAATTGTTATTGGATTCATGCCGGAATTGGACAAAATCTTAAGCTTGATGGAAATGTTGGGCTGGTTATCGATATTTATAACGTCCAATAGCCAGACAAGCTAAGAAGAGGCTGACATCAGCTGCAGAGAAAGTCTGGGGTATTGAAAATTGACCCTATTAGGAATGTGGATATGCCATTACCTTCAGTAGTACAAAATGGGTACACAATATTATCCGATTTGTTTGAGTAAGATTATAATGTCTTATAAATTGGTTCGAATAAATATAGATTTATTTAATAGATTATTCTTGACTTTAATTGATGTCGGGGTATTGTAAAGATACCTCGGCATTGTAAAAGACACCAATCATGTCAAAGTTGAAAACTTTACTAAGGTGAATCATTAATCTTGCTAAGGTTGAAATATCCCACTAAGATAAAAAATAGTCAAAATCTCACTTTAGTTGGTTAGACCAAAAATACTAAAGCCTCTTACTCTTTAAAAAGAGTCTAGAAAAATAAACATTTATTAACACTCAACTTGAATGTCTCATAACTAAGCTTAAACGTACTATTTACAGTATTATAGACTCACATCTTAATAAAATTCTATTTCTAATTACCTAATACAATTAGAATAATTAACAAGAGATTTAAATAAAATACAACATGACTAGCCTAATTAAATAATAATCCTTAAAAGTATTAAATCCTAGTAAAAAAAATAAGAAAAGAATCCTAATCTAACTAGAATAAAAAAAATAAACTCTTAAATCAACTAAAATTAGAAAAACTAAATTAAATGCAATACAATTCTAGATGCTCTTGCGTCATTCTCCTCGGGTTAGAAAAAACTCAACTCTAACGAGCAGGCTTTGACATACTTCATGTTTGAATCCACAAACTATCATAGTCCATACCAACCATTTTAGTAACTCATCTAGTGTTTTGAAAGTTGTCTCTCATTCATCTCAAAGTTGCATTCTAATTTGATGATATCTTTTCTTCAAATCAATCTTCAAAAACACCTTAAAACCAATGAACATGTCATCCAATCGAGAGATAGGAAAATCATACTTTAACTGTAGTCTTGTTAATGGCATGGTTGTTTACAAAGCTTCCCAATAAGTTTTTCAAACTTTTGTTGACCAATTTTGTTTGACCATGCTGAGATAAAAGTGAAGATACTTCATTCTCTTAAGAGATTAACAAGAGACATAAATAGTTTGACTCACGATAAGCTTTGTTTAAGCTAAACATAGTGATAAGTGCTTTATCTTCTTCTTATCTCTTTAATCGGTCTTTTAAGTTTAATAGAGTTAACTCAGATTTTCAAATTGGTTACAATGTAATGGAATAGTACTATCTTGGCTAATTAATGCTCTCTCAAAGGAATTGTAGAAACTCCTTTCATAATCACAATGCTACCTTGGCCAAGGACTTCTATAAATTAATATTAATCAAGAATAGTTAGATATGTTTCTTGAATTACTTGAGGTAATGGTTTCTATCTTGACTACTTATTTATCTTCATATGTTTCATGCTACAACCAATCATATCCTGTTTTAACGTCCTTGGTAGAATTCGTAGGGATATGATCAAATATATATAGCACTCTATATATAAGACAACTCGGTGTCTTAAGTTTAAAAAGTATTTACACAATTGACAAGTGAGAAATATTTGCATAAACACTAAAGTGAGATACTAAATGCATTTCTCATGTAGGGTCTTGTGGCAGTGAACTTTTTCAAGTAACAATAACCTGCATTCTAGTTCCAACTATCTTTATGCTTCAACCTATGAGATTGGTTGTTTACTTTCCAAGTAAGAAACATAAAATGTACTAGTTTTTAAGCATTAGTGATATTCAATCTCAATGATATATCGATCAGGAACATTAGAGATTATACTTTGATACACACACTACCAGAAATTTTAGCAACTGTGATGAGAAAATTTTCTGTTACTATTTTCTATCACAAATAATGAGTTATAGTGACAGAATTGTAATGGCTTTGTAACAAAATTAATGATAATTTGTTTCTAAGAATTTGTGACAGATTCGTGACAGAATTGTGATGGCACTTTAAAGTTGTCACTAAATCCGTTACAATTAATTTGGGTGTAAAATTTTTTCTTGATGCCAAAATTAATGACAAAATCTTGTGACGAAATTTGTTACAATATTAGGATTCCTTGTTTGGTGACAAAATTAGTGACGAAAGTGTGATAGAAATTTAATTCGGGCAGTCCAAGTAAATAACATTGACTAATTTAAGCATAGTTACAGATTATTGTGGATACTTTCATTTGGATAAAATAAAATTATTATATTTTAATTTTTTTGTGTATAGTATATATTTGAGTTTTTATAAGCATTTAAACTTGGTAATATATCTATAAAAGTGTACTAATTAATATGAAATGACATGTAATTATATTTTTTAAATGATATAAATTATATTTTAATATTAAGATATGATATTTATATACTTTGTATCTAATTTCTTCATGACACTACAATTTCCTTAAGAAGAGGGAAACTTAAGTTACTTTACAATCTTCTCCAATTACTTTCGAGGTCAAATAAGTGATTGTTATTAGAACAGACTGCAATATTTATATACTTTACTAAAGAAACAAAAGGAATGAATGAAAGCAAAAAAAGAGAAACCCAAGACTAATATCAAGTCCATCAATTTGCTCTGTTTTTGTCTTTAGATAAAATAATGGTCAAAATACTTGAAAAGTCCTTAAATTAGGGTATTTTTTTTAAATTTAGTCTCTCAATTCAAAATCATAATATTTTAGTCTCTTGATTTTGAGAATTACTTTAATTTGACCCCTTTAACAATTTTTGTCTAAATTGATCATTGTGATGCTGACATTAATGTTGACATGATGCTAACGTGGCACATGAAGTGCGTTTCGATTGCTAACATGGCATTGCCACGTCAACATAAAAAAGTTGTGACAATGCCACATTACACACTAAGTTTGAGTTACTGATGTGGCACTACCATGTTACCTTATGGGTTCAAGCTACCACGTGGCTCATTAAAAAGATAACATATGGTCCTCTTATTCTTCAAAAGATTATGTGCTCTTACTAAAGTTTGAATCCAAACCTCTAATAAATATGTCAAGGTCTTTATAACCATACCTAAGCCCTTACTCATAAGAATATCTTGCTTGTATTTCTTTTTTTCTTTTTTTTTTTTTAAAACTACGTCATTCTGGAGCTTTGTTTGTTAAAGAAAAAGGCTTCAAAGGGTTTTTATAGCTAAGGTTTTTTGAGAGTATAAAAAGACTTCAAAATGATGTATTTTTGGGAAAAGAAATAATAAAAAAATAAGAAAAAAAAAGAGAGAAGAAAAAGAATAAAGAAACACAAGCAAGATATAATTATGCATAAAGGTTTACGTATAATGGTAAAAGCCTTGACATACTTATTAAAAGTTTTGGTTCAAACCTTAGCAATAGCACATAATGTTTTGAAAAATAACAGTGCCACATGGTATGCTTGAACTTAAAGGTGACATGGCAATGCCATATAAGCAACTTGGACCCTAAGTGCGATGTGACATTACTATGTCAACATATCAAGATGATGTGGCATTGCCATATCAGCACTCAAACTCAAAGTCTGACATGGCATTACAACGTTAGTAATTAAAACCCACTTCATAGCATAGTAATAGTCAATTTAGATTGAAAATATTAAAAAGACTGAGTTGAAGCAATTTCTAAAATCAAAAAATTAAAATATTACGATTTTGAGTAAAGAGGCTAAATTAATAAAAATACCTTAATGTAGGAACTTTTTAAGTATTTTGATAATAAAATAATATGTAAAACACCCTCATCTCCTAAAGTTTTAATCGAAAATACATCATTAGTTTTCAAAATAACACTCCATCTCAAAAAAAAAATTTTATTAAACACGTAAGTTTAACTGTTAGTCAATTATTAATATTTTTATCAATTGGATAACATGGCAAGAACAAAAAAATAATTTTACCTTGAATTAATTTTTAAAATTACTATTATATAATTTTTTTATAATTTTTGTTAACAATATTTACATGATGAAATGTCAATTTAAAAAATTAATTGATTGGTTTGAGATTTCAATTAAAATTTAAAAGAGTAGGATTATTTTATTTTAAAACAATTGTTGACATCAAATTTGAGTTGAAGGAGGTTATGGATTCTCAGCTTCCACGACTTTGTATCAAACCATTCCACTCTCCTCGTTTTCCTTCATTTGCTTCCCCTAATTTCATCTCTGTCTCAGGTACTTGCTGTTCCTCTTTGCATTTCTCAAATGCCTGTTTTGGTTCTTGATGTGATAGGGTTTTGAAAACAAATTGATTCTTGTACGCACCAGATTTAGGGAATTAATCTTACAAAACATGTATGCTAGTTATAGGATCCGCTAGTAAGGGAATAAGGTGCGCAATGAAGACTTATAAGTTATCGGAGCTACGTCCTGCTGAGGTGGAGAGCTTGAAGGCTCGTCCTCGCATAGATTTTTCTTCCATATTCGGCATGGTGGGTCTATCTCTGTGTCATCTTTTACACTGTTATGATGCATTTTCTTTATTCAACCCTTGCTAGGTTTTAATGTTCATGTATGGTATGCTTCTCAGGTCCAGCCAATAATTGATGATGTTCGCAGCAGAGGCGATGCTGCAGTTAAAGCGTCGGTCCTGCTTTCATTCTTTGCGTACTTTTTTTTTTTTTTGCTTTTTCTGAGCATTTCAGGAATGTGGTTAGGGATGTGGTTGCTTATAAATGCTAGTCATTTGCAGTTATACTGAAAAGTTTGATAAAGTTAATCTACATAAAATTGTTGAAAATGTCTCGGAGCTTCCTTATCCTGAGGTACTCTTTCTGAAAATGTATGTTACTTGAAATCTCATTAAACTTCTAGTGGGTTTATGGTGCTTAGTTTGCGTCCCTTTCTCTTGCTATGCTGCCATGTCTCAGCTTGACCCAACTATTAAAGGGGCTTTTGATGTGGCATACGAAAATATATATGCATTTCATCTTGCCCAAAAGTCATCAGAGAAAAGTGTCGAGACCATGAAAGTAAGTTAATATAAGTGCTTTATTATTGCATCTTATGTTATACAATAAACAAAGTTAATATCGTAGTACTCTGCACAGGGTGTTAAATGCAAAAGGGTGGCTCGGAGTATTGGTTCTGTTGGTCTTTATGTACCAGGGGGAACTGCTGTTTTGCCCTCAACTGCTCTAATGCTTTCTATTGTAAGTTGAATTATATCTCTAGTTCTTTGTCTGTCTGACTATTGATCTAGTTTGATTTATTTGACATTTGGTTTATTCCTTACTCCAGCCTGCCAAGATTGCTGGATGTAAAACTGTTGTTCTAGCAACTCCCCCAGGCCAAGATGGCAGCATGTGTAAGGTATTTTTTGTTCTTTTTTATATCCAAATAACATATAAAGAGACTACTTACTGAGAGGTGATCAGTGTTTCCCCATTAGGAGGTACTGTATTGTGCCAAGAAGGCCGGTGTGACTCACATTCTTAAAGCTGGTGGAGCTCAGGTCTGAAACCATGAAAGATATGTTTACACATTTTGCATTTTAAACTAGTTACTATTTTTATCAGGTCTTGACTTTCTTTCTTTTTTTTTTTTCTTAACTGAACTTTTAGGCCATATCTGCCATGGCCTGGGGCACAGAATCTTGCCCGAAGGTAATGATTTCTCATCAACTTTTTCTCGGTTATTGAGTTTAATTCTGATAAGTATGTATGGCATTTTGTTGAAGACTTAAGTAGTGATTTTTCTCATGTTTCCTATCAGTAATTTATTAATCAGGGACAGAATATCTTTTGAGCTTATTGATAGATCAAATTCCTTTATTTTCTCTTTCTACAGTATCTCTAACTTGAGTTTTGTTCATTGTATTTCTTTGTGACTAGTCAATGTTTTTAATGTATTGATGTTGTCAAGTGGCTGGGGAATTGCACAAGTAGCCTTCAGTTAATTATGCTGAGTGATAGTTTAATTAATCCTAAAATGCAAATCTTCATCAAGAGTCATCATGCACAGTTAATATTTCCTTTCACAACTCTGTGTGTGTGTGTGTGTGTGAATAATAGCATGCTCATCTTAATAACATAGGTAGTTGTGACAATATTGATTTCAGATGAAAGATGCTGAAATGTTATAACTTTAGACTAGTATAATGATGATCAGGAAGCTATGTAACAACTTGAATATACAGTCCATTTATGTACCATTTGAGCATGTATACCTGACTAAGAGGCATCCTTTATACCTTGTCTAAGTAATTCCACAATAGTTGATGAGGTGTTGAAGACTTCAAATATGATTAGTTGTTGAAGGCATGATAAGTCGGACAAGATAGTATATTTTTTTAGGAGAATGATAAGATTTGATTTATCATGATAGGATATTTTTCAGCTTCTTATCGGTGTTAAAGATTTTGCCTTTATTGCAGGTTGAGAAAATTTTGGGACCTGGAAATCAGTATGTAACAGCTGCCAAAATGATACTCCAAGTAATTTCAGTTTACTTGCTCTTAGAACTTCTGCATAAGTTTGATCCAATTAAAGAAAGTTGTAGAAATGCATGTCCCTCTACTTTATTTGATTCTCCCTTCTATACCTATATCCTTACAGAATAGTGAGGCTATGATTTCAATTGACATGCCAGCTGGGCCTTCAGAAGTTTTGGTTATTGCCGACAAACATGCCAATCCTATACATATAGCTGCAGATTTGCTATCCCAGGTTTGCACTTGCTTTTTCTTTAGTTCTAATTAGCTACTTTTTTACTAGTCTCATGTAAGGTGTTTGCCGTCGTTTGTCTTTACTCTATTGGTGGGTGGTCTAATTACCAATCTCAAGTTTTTTGCTGCATCATGATGTACTACATCCAGACTGCAAAGCCTTTGTAATTTACATGATTCCCTAAGCAAAGTGAGGTTTCTCTATAGATTAATAAGATTTTCTTTTAGTGTTTATCATGAACTTGTTAGCTGTATGCTGACTTACTTCCTGGAAAGTGAGATGCTAGAACAACACAAGTGCTAAGTCGATTTGTGAATATGATCTTTATAGCGTGGTTATTGCTATGAATATTTAACTTTTGGCCTGTATATCTCTATCTATAGTGAAAGAAATTTTTTTCCTCTCTCCATATTAAGGAAATAAGAGTTAATTATATGAACTGTAACAAGGCCTATTGAAACCAAAAGATTATATTAATTTGACAATGCCAGAGTTTATTTAGCCTTTAGTCAAGAAATTGGATCCTGCTAGCTAGTTATAATCTACTATTTCCTAGTCAAGTATCAGTCAAGATTTTTCTTTCCTCAAGGGGAGCTACCATGCAAGATCATCTGTAGTCTATGCTGCTAGGACTTGGGAGAGTGTTGAATAGAATGTTTTTGACATTGGAAAATGAAGAATCAGAGCAACATAGTCTAAGGCTTTCCAAAATGCTTGTAGATTTTTTTCCATGCTGTAATTTTCAGTGACCTTCCAACTCTGCTTGTCTCTTTTTTATAATCCCTTTTTTCCTACTTTTCGTTCAATTTTCTCGAGTTTTAGTTTGCGTTCTGAAACCAAAAGCTTGTGAAATGAGTATTCAAACCCTCATCTTGTGACACCTGTGTGAGACGCTTCTTTTGTTCCATTGTTAGAATAAAATATATGCATTGGAGAATAAAGCATATTCTTGATATTAACTTACTGCTTTCATGTCTCCAAGGGATGTGTCACTGGTTAAACTTGGAATTTTCAGTTCGCAATGATCAATTTTGAACCTTGGGAAGGGAGGGTAGGGATTTGGGGAATGGAACGGGGTTGTCTTCCTTTCCACAGCCCAAGGTCTAGTTTGACTCTGTCTGTAACAAAACATAAATAAAAATTAAAATCCTGCTTTTATTGGACCTGATGTACAGAGTGATATAATTTGCTATTTTCAGGCTGAGCATGGCCCTGATAGCCAGGTTGTTCTTGTAATAGTTGGTGATGGTGTGGGTCTTAAAGCTATTGAGGAGGAAATTAATAAACAGTGCCAAAGCCTTCCAAGGGGAGATTTTGCTTCAAAAGCATTGAGCCATAGTTTCACTGTTTTTGCTCGTGATATTGTTGAGGTTAGTTTCCCTTTTCCTGTCTTGGTGTTTGTAGCTCAAACAAATCCATCTGTGGTCCAACTTGCTTGCAATAACTTTAGATGGTGAATATTTATCAAGGGTTTGATAACAGGCCTTTACTGCCAGAAGTTCTACTATTTTGGGTATTCTGTTTTATGGAATTTCTTATGATCATTGTCGTTTAGGCAATTTCCTTCTCAAATTTATATGCACCAGAGCACCTGATCATGAATGTGAAGGATGCAGAAAAATGGGAGGGTTTTGTTGAGAATGCCGGTATTTTTCTAGGCTGTGACTTTGGTTCTTTCTCGTGCCAAATAAGATTTGGTGAGCCTGATGGCTGGTGTTCATAAATTGCTTTCCCTGTGTTCCTGCAGGTTCTGTCTTCCTAGGGCAGTGGACGCCAGAGAGTGTGGGTGACTATGCAAGTGGGACAAACCATGTTCTTCCAACCTATGGCTATGCAAGGATGTATGGTGGGGTGTCTCTTGACTCTTTCCTCAAGTACATGACTGTACAATCTCTGACAGAGGAAGGCCTAAGTAACCTTGGCCCACATGTGGCCACCATGGCTGAAGTTGAGGGGCTGGATGCTCACAAACGAGCTGTGACTCTCAGACTTGAAGATATCAAGGCCAGGCATGCCTCTAGCGTGAGATGATGTATGTCAAGCAGAGGAGGTGCTGTTTGAACAAATATTTGCTCTTGTTCCAGATTCTAATTGTTGTACTGTAATATATACACATCTCTGTAGCATTGCTATGCTGGTGGTTTAGAGACCTGGGTTTAGTCTGATTTGCTAGTTGATTGGTTGATGATATACCAAAGAAACCAATAAACACCATTTTTGTATCAGCTTTGAACTGGATTATGGAGCAAAACAATAAAGGTGTTTAGGCCCTTTTGATACTTGAGGGAGAATATTGCTGGTGAAGTTTCACATATTGCATTATATTGAAAGTCAATATGTTCCACCTGGCCATTGCTTCAGGATTGGAATATTGTTATCTTACAACATGATAAATGAAAAGGAGCAGGGAGAAGAGTGAGAGGCAGATCAAAGAGCATTTTATGTAAGGAAGGTGCATATTCCATGCACTCCAAAATTATGTCCCTAGCCCTTCTGAAAGATTAATGGCCCAGCTGGCAACAAATTGAGGTCCCACTTCTCTGTTGCACTAGATTAATGACCCAATTGTTGACTACAAATAAGTTGAAAGGTATAATACCTTGACTTCTTAAGTTCTCTATAATGACACTAGATCCACTAATATGTAAATGACATTAACGAGAAATGTGAAATGTCTAAATTACTTATGTACATAATCGTGTTAGTGAATCTTAATCACTAATTGAGCTGCTCCCTTTCTCTCCTCTCTTCACCGATCAACCTTATGCTCCGATTAAAGGTTCATCCTACAACAAAAAAGGCTTAAACCTAAACCCCTTTTTGGAACCCTTTAAACCTTGACTCAAATTGAGAGAGAAGGATTAGGGTTCATCGGTCATCAACTAATGGTCAGTATTGCGGTGTTTTGATGCTATCACTGAATCTATTACATGACACTATTCTTTTAATTGATTGCATTGAAAAAAAGGTTATCAACCAGAGAGAGAGAGGTAGAACCAAAGGAAGGCTTGTTTGATTCAATTTAAATGATCTAATCAGGCCAATTTCACCCAAATGACATGATGGAAAGGTCTCGTATCGGAGTAACTTGGCCATCAACCATTTGTGCTTAGTCCAATGTACCCAACAAGGCAAAAGAAGTCGTAAAAGCAATATACTAGTGAATGCCATATGAAAGACACTTTTCCCTTGGCTTATAAGGATCAAAATTCACCATTTTTAAAACTACATGCTCCCTGACATAACTCAAAATTCCAAACAACTCAAAACAATAAATTACGGTACAACATAACAGGATAACTGAGTTAACAGTAAACATTGTAGGGCTTCAACTCCACCAAAATGTTTTCCAGGTTCATCTTCTTGAATTCAGTTTGGCACATCTTTCCTCATATGATGCTGGGAGTAACAAAGAAGGCATAAGAGGAAAAACAAAGGGTAATAAGTTAGGTTTACGCCATGTCAGTTGGCGAAAGTTGAAGAAAAACAAACAGAATGCCTGCTGCCTTCTACAGAGAAAACAAGAAAACCCAGAGTCTTACAGATAGTATGGTAGAAAACCTACAGATCAAGACTACCGTAAATCTCTTGAAAACGTGTGGGAGTTATCAGTTGCTCATAGAAAGCTTATGCCAAAAGGTTAAATGCTTTTCACAATTAGACTAAAAGGAAAATAGCTTTCTAGGTTAATATTCTGGAATTTGCCACAACACCTCGAACATTAAAAATGAAAAAACCCCAGACAATTAAGCTATCAAGATTTTATATGCTAAATTTCAAAACTGACCATTAAGCATCTATCTGCAAATGTCAGCAAAGGCTAAGGGAAAAATTAAAAGTACAAGAGGGCTGCCCTGCAGCTTCAAACAACGGACATGCTAATTACAGTTATAGGGACACGCACTCAGAAGCATGCATTTCTTCTTAAACAGGCATTTCCTTAATGACTAACAAGTCTGCTACAGGACTGATTGGCAAGAAAGTAACCATGATGGTCAGTTTTCTGATGAAACCATGTTCATCGTGGAAAGCACACAAATATGAGGTCTGATCTGAACTGTCTTATCTACAAGCAAACCTTTGAACATTCCTACACAACCTTATCTCTTTTGTGGCGATAAATGCATGACACCTATTCAAACATCCACATGAATATGAAAAACGGCAAGGTAACTAATCTTCTGGCAATGATATGTATTTAGAGCCTGTTAGTGAATACTCAAAATGTAGCGGTACTTACGCTCGGTTGGCCGTGACAAGAGAGGAACATGGGAAGCCACCTTCTTGATTGTTCCCTCATTCAATAAGCTCTTGCCTGAAAAAGTCAAAGCTCTTTCAGCAAAACAGATCAACACAGATAAACAAAAAAGTAAGACTTTGATAGAAATATATGGTAGAAACTTGGTTTCTGCACCATTTGCTAAAGGCAAGCAGCTTAGAAGAGCCTCATGAAAAATTGCAGATTGAAGCTGGTATGCTCGACATTCATTTTCCAAATGTATACGTAGTGCTTGCCCAGAATCTACACATAAAACACTGGATAATTCAAATATTTCAAGTGTAAATGGTTGTTGACTTGGCAAATGTGAGTGATATATGGATGCAAATTGCAAGCTTTTTTTTTTTTTCTTTTTTTCTGATCAGAGCAAATTGTAGCATAAAAAACTGTATCCTATATGCCTTATAAGTCAAAGACATGAGGTGAAGTTTTGTGTATCACGTACCTGATGAACAAATAAAATTGACATCTTCAAAATGACAGGATTGAAGGACCAATGGTATCTCTGGAGCCATGGCATATTGAGGTTTTCTTGGTGTCTTCTCAGTGTCCAGTAATGCATCTATCACCTACAAAAAATTGACCAATTGATCACTTGATGTGTGAGCACAGAATAAAGATGTGTGCATAACACCCTAGAAAGAGGTAAAAATATTTAAGCATCTTACAATCAAGTTACCATGTTGAAGGTCTGCTGCAGCTCAATTAAGAAAAAAAAAAAAGTTACCATGTTGAAGATCATTTTAAAGCTGTATCCCATGCTTACAAGAAGATCCTAGGAAATTCTTTCCATATCTATCACTTATGCCAAGAATTCTAACTCGAGGTGGTTGTGCCCATTTCTATTCTTGATGTAGGAGTAGCTATAAAGAGTTAGAGAAAAGTAAACACTAAGCACGAAAATCTGGGATTAAAGGGTGTACCAGAATGCTCCTCTACATCAAGTAAATTCATCACCATGGATGAATTACTGGTTTATGCCAAAAATCAAAGACCAGGCCTGCCTTTGAAATTGAGGTAAAAAGATGCCACAATTAACTTTTGAATTGACCATCATGTATCATGCCAGTCAATATCAGGAAAAGGAACAGTTTGAATGAACAATATTTAGTTCTGGTGTCTGTTGAATTTCATCTCTAACCTAGCAAGAAAAGTTAACAAAAACTGAAAACAAAGAGGTAATGACAACAACTGTCACGCACATCAATTGATTCAACACCTTGGCCGATCATAAATAGTACAGCAACCATGCACCGCACCTGATGCCATAGGAAGGCACTACCTTTAACTTTGATCGCACAAAGCTGATTGCCTTCAAACCTGCAAGTAACAATAGAAGGTTATCCACTTTTCTACAAATTCTAACTAGGCAGATCATATAAGTAACTTTTTGTTGATACATTAACATTATCCAACCAAAATTGTCAACAATAGAAGATTAACTGTGCAGCATGCACTACATACAAGTTGTGGAATTCGTGTCAGCCGTAAATTAGAAATAATACAAGCATAAGTTCACGGGCTAATTTTGATGACATTTAAGAAAAATAAATAATAACCAGGACTATGCGTACCAAAGAACTACCATATCTTGACATGAAAATATAAATTTATTTATTAATTTTATAGCATCATGAGAACGCATCATCCAAAACAAAAATCTGGTGTGTATATATAAACTTACTTGCATCAACCAGAACAGAGAGATAATAGAAATTACCTCATATTAGAAGAAGAAATTTCAAACAATGTAACACGCCGCCTGTAGTTGTGTACATTTGCTGCGTCCATCTTACAAAAATTTCTGAAGTCATGTTCTCCTATAAATTTCTTTCCTGCATTCTCCATATCCTGGAAATAAATAAAAAAAATTACATTATTATATTTCTGATGAGAACCCATAAAGTAGTTCGACAAATGGTCAGAACTCAGAATACATGTAAAAAGATTGCTTACTGGGAGATTCAAATTTCCTCCCCAAAAGAAGTATGTATATTCTCTAGCCAAACAACTAAACCTGCACTTACAGACAATATGCAATCATCTTAATCCATAAGATAACTAATATAATAAGTTCGAAAAGTAAATTTGCATGATAACACTTAGGCAATGATTCTGGCTATTGTGAATCCATTAAGGATGAATTAGGCTAAAATATCCTTTGTAAAATAAAACCATACAGCCACCCTCAAAATCTGAAAATGAAATAAACTTTTTAAAATGTAGAAAGACCTTGCACTGAAATCAATTGAAACAGGACTCCATCCTAAAATTCGAATATCGTTTGGAAGGACTCGGTTCAGTACTCTCACATAATCAATTTCTCCTTCTGATAAAGATTCAGAAAAAATAAATAAACAAATAGAGGCATGAGTTAAGATCAAAGATACATATATTTCACTTTTTAACTTCACCGTCAATGTATTCACATAATTTTTTAAAGAAGCTGAAGCTAACACACTGCTAAAACCATTTAAAAAATGCATTGCATTTTACTTTATATTAAATTAATTTTTCTCACAGAAACTAAGCTCACATGCCTCCCAACTTTGAAGTTTGAAACAAGTTCCAGTAAGATGGGGCAAAGATCTTATGCGGTATCCAGATTAGGCAATAATTCACCAATACGGAATATTGATGTGATGGTCATGGCAAACAGAAAGCAATGAATTATTTAAACTTTAATTATTTCTAATCTTGATCTGAAATTTTATTTTCCTGAAACTTTTGAGTTTTGTACTAGTTTGCCTTATTATGCATGTGCATTGTGCCCTACTTTGCCCTTTCATACATGAATAAGTCACTGGAATTGTTCAGGCATTTAACTTGACAGCACAAGAGAGAACATTAAAGGCATGCAAGGTACGTGAACAATTATGGTATCAGAGTTTTATTACTCCACAACTTAGCCCTTTAATTGACCTAAAACAATTTACATACAAGTATTTTATTCCACCTCAGCACAACTTTGTCCCACATATTTCGTTCTAGTTTCTCCAATGGTATAATCAGTTCACTAAATGAACAACTAAGTGAGACTAATTAAGACATTTCGTAACAACTTGTAGTAAACTCAAAGCTCCTTAAACAGTTTGCTTTATCCTCAAACCAAAAGTGACCATCCTAAAATTCTATTTGTTGCTAGCCTTTATTAGTTAAAATTTAAGTGCTTTCATGTTCAATTGCAACAGGACCTAGAAAATGATAGAATGCAGGGATTTGGAACAAGAAAAAGCCATGAATCAGCAACATCAGATGATATCTAAAGATGAAGCTTTTGCACTAAGTTAGAGTCATTAGGACAGAATAACTGGCTGACCAGTTTGAGTCCCTGAAATTAATTCTCCTGAAGTGTTGTTGTTTGCATCAGCTTCTTTGAGGTTTGACCTTAAATATAATGCAATCACCTGCACCAAACATTTTCCATATTCTTAACATTCAACTATATGGGTAAACCATGGTTCAAAATTACAGTTAGACAACACAGGTATAAAGCAGCAAAAACCATATGCAAGTGTAAACATTAAACAAGGAAATAATGAGCAAATTATTCTAATTTTTCTCCAAGTTGTGGAAGAATAGGGCAGATATATAATTCCAAGAAGGCTAGGCACATCATGTTAAAATTGATAATGAGATTTCACACAAAGATGAAAATGCTTCGAGGATCACAATGCTCGACTATTTGCTAGAAAGAATAAAAAGAAGCGAATGTTACATATCAGAGGTGCTACTAACTTGTTTGGTCTATTATTTTGCCCCAGAGAATAGATTGCTTGTTCTTCTTATACTATTATTATTTTTTCATCATCATATGTCCTATCATTAGAGAGAAGTGCACCATGTAATAGAAAAGCACTAGTTATCTTTAACAAAAATCAGTGTCAATTCACTTTGGCAAAGAACCAATGCTACAATATGGTGATTTAGCAAAATAATATAGGGCGATTACACAATACCTGCAGGCTACAGGTATCCAGAAGCAAAACAAAAAAAATGCATAGAATCAAAATTACAATAACATATTGTTGAAAAACCAGGTTTAATCAAGGGAAGCTGGAAAAGTTATCAATATTAAACAACGAAACTATAAATAGGTAAATTTCTCTTCTGGAAGGTCAGCACATACTTCTATCAAGGTAGGCCTTGCACATTGGCTTTTTTCATCTTATCAAAAAGGCTAACAACTACTTGGCAAAGGTTTCGTTGTGACATTTACACATGCTCAAGAAAAAGCACCAAAATTGCCAGTAAGTCTAAAAGCGATTATTCAAGCAAACCTCATTGTCAAAACATGTAAGATCATAATATCTCATAAAACAACAAACTAAATATTTCTAAAAATTTAAATGTATCTCTGAAGTTCTATGAGTTAGAAATTTGGTCTTCTTGTAGAAATGACTTTCATATTTTTAGAAAGCTTCAAAAAAACATATAAAAAGAAAAGTCTATTTCAGTTCTATGTAATTTGATATAAACTAAACTCAAATGAAACAGTATATTACATCAAGCGTCCACTTAATCCCAACACCAAAGACATCTTGTTAATTTATAGGTTTTACAGAAACAAAAATTCACATATTGAAAAAGAGGGACATGTCTTGCCAAATATCAAAACTACCGGTGACAGCCACCCACATACTTGCAGATTTCTCCAATTTGCAAAAGGTCAAAACTATCAAGGGATATTTTAAAAGAGATTCTTCTAGAGATCAACTTACTTGGCCGACAGCGGAGACTCCCTTATCTGTTCTGCCACATCTTGAGTAGAGAGATTCCTTCTTGTCACCAACTGAAAGCCTCGTTTTCTCAAGAGCTTTGAAAATTTCAGACTGCATGGGCACTAGAATTATAAAAATATTCAAGAATGAAACTAACTGTATCATCCAACAAAAATAATTGTATAAGTTCATATCTGATACTAGTTCAAGCATCTACTAATTTAATTCCTGTTTTTCTCAAAAGGAAATTGTTTTAAGATTCAAACAGGTCTTGCACTTGTCATTCCCCAGCAGTTAATTTCTAAGAGATATTTAAGCACCATACCTCAACAGTAGGATCCATTTGTGCTTCTGAAGCAAAACCATAAAACCTGTCATATAGCACATGAAATCGTAAGGCTTTCCTTGTGTTCTACTGTCATTACAATTTATAAATTTTAATTTCTTTTTAAAAAACCAAATATTATAAATTTTACAATCAAATAATAAATGGGAAATGAAGTAAATAAACGCATAGCGTTAGCAAGGGACCAGACTTTTAAGGAAAAGAAAAGAGAGACCCTACTAAAGCGATGAATAAGTGTCACTTAGCTACCAAGACCATGCATCAGTAGGGCTTAATCCTGTGATCGTCTTAAATTAACTTGTGGTTGGTATTAAATAAGCATCTTACAATATAAACTAAGTAATAAAACCCAATGCCATGTTGATACTAGAAGACACTCAGTCCAAGATTCCACGTCTTAATCTTTTCAAAATGCCAGCGAGTGATAGACACAGGTGGCAGTATTTACTAAAGGAAATACACATAAAGGGGATCCACCCTAGTCTACATGTTGTTACTTTTCCAGAAGGAACTATACCCTAGCCAGAGGGAGGGAAAAGCAGAAAATCATTGATGTAGTCAACCCTATCTGGCTGGAATGAAGGTTGAACCAAGTTACATGAAATTGAACTGAGACACTATTAAAACTAGGTCTTCCACCATGAATATTCAGTTGCTATTCTCTGTTCTCCTTTCCTTCCCCTTTGACTTATTAACGCATTAGAGCAATTTGTAACTGTAGAGGAATTTATGCTACTGATGCCAAGAAACATAGATATCACGAGGGATTATGGTTACATTGCATACCTCTTACCAAAATACATAACTTTTAGAGCAACATATCTCTTGGAATGGTGAGTCATGATTTCCAAATTATAACCTGTTTAGAAAGATAGATGATGAAATTTGATACATAAGAATATGTCTGATGACAATGTCATACTTCTTGAGAGAATACACAAGACTAAGCAAATTACAATTGCTTGATCAACAAAATTGTTTTACTAAGATCATGTCATAATACACTTCAGATTTATAATGACCAATATTACTGACTTTTACTCTCTCTTTCCCATGAGTTCATAATGCAACTGAGTTGAAAGTAAGTGACCAGTGCTCTCTGACAGATTAGATATGCAGCATTTTCATGAAATACAATATGCTAATGCAACATATCTCCAATCTCATATCTCAGCAACCAAATGATGATCATTGGTGAGCACAAGTATATGAACTATGGCACATTTTTGTAATAATCACACATAGATATGTGAATATAAGATCTCAGATATGCAAATTTTGATTTGTTTCATACTGTGCATATTCCAAACTTCCAACTGCTGTTTAATTTCAGAAGCAGTATATGAAACTTGAAACAGGTAGAATACAACTACCATAGAACCAAAAGAATGCAATGAAGAAGGAGAAAGAAACAAGATTAGTTCTGTTTAGGTTAGCTATTTAAAAAAAAAAACCAAGAAGATTAGTTCAAAGAGCTAAATTGCATTAAAATTAGTATCAGAAATCATGAAAATTGACCAGATACTGCAGGTGCAAAGAGGAGATTGTGCCTTGTCATCCATCTGCAGGCTACTTGGTTCAAAGGGATTATTTATTTTGTGTGATCTTTGGTTTATTTATTTAGTAAAGCCCTCTTCATTTTCTTTAATATTTTTCATTAACAGTGCATCAACTGATTGACAGAAATTTAGATATAGACTCCATCCTTTTCTGCTATATCATACTTCATATATCAGCACACTGAACTTGACAACTGCTGCAGTGCCACATATAGAGTGTATTCATGAAGCAATTAGAGAAAGGGTTGAAGTTGCCAACTAACTTCATTAATAACCTAGTTATCAGGTTTTGCTTTTATCAAGAATCTAACGTTGAATCTTACATTCACCAGGAATAAAGGTATGTATGATAGAGGATGACTATTGGACCACAAAGAAAGTTTATTATTAAAAGCCCACTATTTTTCTTTTTGAGATTTTATACAAATTTAGCAATATTTCTGTTACAAGAATGTAGCAAAATTTAAAATAAAAGTAGAAACTTTAAACACAAAGATAGGGTGTTTACTCATATCACAATGAGCAAGCGATAGAGAATTTTCCCCCAGTGTCAACAAACTCAAATGATATTTAAGATCAGCAAATAGATAGAGACTAGGAAAGAAACCTGGAATTCTTTCTGATGCTTTCTTTTTTCTGGTCTCATCATCTCCATTGTTTGTTCTCGGACTTGCCACACTCGAATTGAAACATTTTACATCCGAACCGTTATGCATCTTCTCTGTCTGCATCATACCAATATTTTAGCCTCATTGGTACCCAACTATGAGTATTATCACAAAAAAAAAAAAAAAGCCTCTTCCCCCTCTTTTGATCAACTGGAAAATATGAAATGCACCGAACAAGGGCAATGGAAAAAAAAAAAAAACCAAATAAAACCCACTACTCATCCCACAGTCCCCAATGCCTAGGAAGTTTTTACAAGCACAATAAAGACTACTTAATTGTAAATTAAGGCTCCATCTTAGTTCTTACCTTTACTTTTATTACTTGTTTTTTTATTCCCAAAAGCCAAAAAAAAAAAATGTCTTTAGTTAAAAAAAGCAAATAATATTTTTTAAAAATTTAACTTTCCTGGACAACAAAATTCATGATTTCACCTTTTAATGTAACAAGTATGTTGTGAATTACCATTTCAATATACCCAAGTTTCTCATGTTAATAACAAAAAGCAAAAAAAAAAAGACAAGTAGCAAAAGAAACTACCAAACAGAGCCTAAAAAAAAAAAATAACAAATGTTGCAAATATGCCATTTCTTTTGCTAATTCTTCAACACAAACAATGGCTCCAAAAAAAAAAGCACAAAATTAAAATTAATAATAAAACAAAAAGATAGAAAGAAATTCAATTCGCTTACAAACCTTGTGGCAACAACATTTGGAGAGTTGAGATACTAGCTTTGCATTCTCAGCCTCTAATTCCTGATTCATAAATTACAAAAAAATAAAAAAGAGAATAGTGAATAAAATTAAAAAAAATTAATGAAAAGAAAACGAAATTAAGAAATAGGCAAAGCAAGAAGTACCTTGACTCTATTCTGGAGAGACTGTAGCTGCGATTGCAACCTCGCAACTACATCTCCAGCCATCTCTCTTTCTTCCTTTGACATGTTCGATTCTTCTGTCTTTCTAAACGCAATACTCAAATCACCGGCGAAACGTTATCGGAAAATTTGACCGCTGTTTGACTCTCTCTATAGACTGGGGATTTTGTTCCAAGTGAGTTCCAACAGCTTTTAAAACTACGTCGTTTTATCCTCTGATTGTTAAGAAAATTATTGTTTAATATAAAATTGCTGAGGAGATAATTCTGTAAGGTTTAATTTATAAATATTTTATTAAAAATTAATTTTATTAGGCAAGAGAAAGTGATACATGTGATTATATTCTTTTAATTAAATTTTTTAGAATTATTGTTCATAATTCTATTGCCAAACATGGTCCTAATTTTGTAATTTACCTATTTTATATTTGTTATTGTGATATTAAGTGGTTTTTAGATAATTTTGTCAACATAAATATAAAAATAAATATTTGAAACGTGTCATTTTTTCTTTAAAAAAAAAGCCCAAACCCATAAATCCCAAAATATTTTTTGTTGCAAATATGATGTTAACATTTATCTTTTTATTTGAAATATAAAATAGGTTTATCATCTTTTTACCTTGTAAATAAATATATGTTGAAACAATTATTATTAAAAGTTTAAATAAATCTATAAATTACAAGTTTACATTCTTAATCCAAAAAGCATATTTAATAAGTGATAAAAAATTTATTTTTTTAATATGTAAGACTCACCTCATTTCTTATTAACGTGAAATCTATAATAATTTAGTATAACATGACATAAAATGAGATTGTCCTTATCTTTGAATATGAACAGAAAAAAACCCATAAAAATTAAGCAAATTGACCCAAACGAACATTATTTACATGAATCAGGAGATAAAGAAATTGACTATGCCAACCATTCTGTGCTACAAGTGTTTTTTTTGTTTCTTTGTAATATTGTAATGTTAATTACCATCTTTGTTACTTAAATTATCCCAAGTAGTTCATTTCTAGCAAACTCAACTAGTGACTAGATTTTCTTACTTTAATCTCCAAGGAAACAATAAGATTAACACGTATCTTAGAAGATACTGTCAAACTCAAAAAGATGTTGAGCAATGTGTTGGATGATTTTTTGTTTATATAATTGTTAATATAATGAAGTTAAATTCTACTTGGTTAAAAGAAGAAATCCATTGTTAATTATTAGTAATGAAAGTCAAGGTTAAGCAACCATTCTTATATACTAGATCTCTGCAAAATTCCAGCACATGGGGCTCCATATTGCTTGGTCAATTCCTGTTGATGACTTTTTGTTTGGATCAATGCCTTTGTCATCATAGACAAGTTCTTGTAAGAGAATGAAAGACCCATCCACTCTTTCCTTGTTGGTGATCTCTCAAGTTATTAACAATACCATCCATGGTGGATGCCAACAAGGGCACTGTAAGTTTTTTTCCATGGTTTCATCAAGTGTTTTTGAATGATCTTCCAGGGAATTGATTTCAATGGCAATTGTTAGCTATGTTCCTCCTTTCCTTTTCTATGGAAAGGCTAAAGAAAGAGGAAAGGAGACTGGTTGGAACCTTGGTGGGATTTCCAGGCTCTATGGCACACCCTTTCCAAGCAAAAACCCTGCGTTTTATACATCCTTCTTATAGCATTCATTGGCTCTCTAAGATCACCACCTTTCCCAAAATGTTTGTCAAATTTGACCAAATGGTTATTATCCTCCTACAAGGATTGAGATTCCAAATAGGAATTTCCATTTTCCTTGGACTCTGCTCAGCACCCATTTTTGTTTTATCTCTGAGCTTGTCTAATGTGTAGTCTCGATCTTAGACTATATTATGGCTTCTTCACCTTTCGGTGTTGTTGATGTAGCTGATGCCAAATTTCAGGTATTCCGATTTACTACCAGACTTCTATTGCTTGGATGGATGACCATTTGGCCTATTCTTTCATTGTAGTCCAATAATTTTCACGTGTAACTTTTTTTTTTCTCTTTGGTATAAATTAGTCGTATTTATTTATATATGGATCTAACGTGTCTATTTGTGTTATAATTTATTTTTTTAATAAATAATGAATTATGTATTAAGTAGTGAATTATTATTGATAACGACAATAAAAATGTCAATTATTATCTCAAATACGAATGGTATATTATACATTAAGTAGGGTGAATTGACTTGAGTTAACGATTCAATGTTACATATTTTCATGTAATGATTAATTAAATTTGTTTGCAAAGTTTTAAATTATTATATAATTTACATAGTATATAAAAAAATATTTTTAAAAATATGTAAGTGGTATTCAAGAATTGATGTGTGTGAAAATTCATAAATAAAATTTAATTGATTATCACATATCTATTTAATTATACGTAATTATTATAAAAAAAATTTATACATGTTTAAGAGAAAATTGTAAAAAGTAACCCTCCATCTCAATTCAAAAATATCTTTTATTATAATTTTAATTATTCTGAACTAATTTTTGACATGAATTGACAATAATATCTTTTAAATAATTTCAAATAAATTAAAATGATTTCGGTTTCTTTATTCTGACATCTAAACAAAAATTTCAAAATTAAATCTCAATTTCTCTCCTACCAAATACTGTGTATTTTTCCATCTATCTCTTTCTTGTCATCTCAGAAAGCAAAGATGACATTAATGTATATGTTTTTTATTAGTTTATTTATAGAACTCCTAAGTTGAGGGATTAAAATTTATTAGACATATCTGTAAAGTAGATGACATTGGTAATTTAAATCTGACTATGATCAGACAAATCAATTAGTTATTTGGTATTGCATTATCGGTTTTTAGGCATTGTGTCACTAGTTTTTAGATATTGCGAGACTAATTTTTAGGTACTGCTTGACTTTCTCATTACGTAAAAACTAGTCACGTAATACCTTACTATCTGCTCATGCAATGCCTTATTAATCAGTCACGTAATGTCATATTAACCAGTTACGTAATATCTAAAAATTAATTACATAATATCTAAAAATTAATAACGTGATCCCTAAAAACTAGTCATGCGATACCCAAGAACCGGTTACCTAAAAACTACCAAAACTACTGAATTCTATTTAATAAAATCAATAACTTCAAACAATACATCATATTCCATTTAACAACATAATCAATGAATATGCTTACTTGGTGAATAATGCTCAAAATACTCAAAAGTTTTTTTTTTTTCATGGATCAAAAACCACTTCAAAATGCTCAAAATGTTTAAAGGTTTTTTCTTTGTGATAAGGGATACTTTATAAATAAATGGTATAGTGAGGTAAGCTTAAAAGATATGAGTCAATTTAAGACACAAACTGAAATATATGGGTTGATTTCATTAAGAGGAATTTTATTCAAAATTAATTTTTTTAATTAAAAATAATTAAAATTATAAAGAGAGTTATTTTAAAAAATACGTTATAAACAAAGGGTATTTTTTCAAAGAAAAAACCATGTTTAATTTGATAATTCAATGTTGACTTATGATTCAATGAATAGGTGGCAAAACATATAAATCCATTTGTGAAATTTTCAACTCTGTTATAATATTCCTTTTTAGTTAAATTAGATGTCTGTTTTAAAAATTTAATATTGTATTAGAACATTATCTTTTCCGGTGTCGTTTCTTCTATAATAGATTTAGTATCTTTACACGCAAAGTACAAATATTTTAAATAAATAAATATAATAAACATCCCTTCACTTATTAAAAACCCGTCGTATTGAATGTCCGCTTGGAATACAAACCGCTGCTGGAGGTATTCTTACATGCTTTGAGAAACCATGCCATGGCTGCTGTTCTTGGCTTGATATATTGTCTTCCTCTAAGCCAAATTCTCATTCAATTACAGAACTGTTGTGTTGCAAGCATGTGAATTCCTGTCGATTTCTAAAGTTATTGCTGTTAGACAAACAACAGGGAGAGGAGAGTTGACCTATTGGAATCTTGATCAACTAGAGCTTGCCATGGTCGGTGACGGTAGTTAGGTTTTCACCTGCAACGGTGTTGAATGTAACTCCAGACATTGTACTGTCATCAACCTAACTTCTACTTGGACCAGTGAAAGGGATAGGAGAGCACAATTACCGCACGACATTGCTCAAGGAATCAATAACAGGAAAATGACAGTCTACGGGACTGGAGATGACATATGTAATGTTGGGGGTTAGAGGTTTGGCATGTTAGTTATAGGTCAAAGGTTAAGCAAACAAGCTGTAGTTCTTTCCAAGAACCAAGCACATGGGATTCCACATTTGTGTTAGACAGGGAATTGCTCTTTTGCTTGTTTTCTGGGTCATAAGTCTACATTACATACTCATCCAGAATCACAAATTGAAAGTAAACAAACACATAAATGGAAAGACAAGCAAGTGTAAATTCGGTATTGAAAAGTGTGTCAAAGCAATAAAGTTACTGCAAATTTGTATTTGGAGATCTTAGGTTCCACAAAGTGTAAATTCTGAAGAGACTTTGGAAGATATTGTTTTTGTTTTAATATGACTTTCGATGTTTTACCTGTTTACGAGATTCATGTCTTGAGTATGTAATAGATGCTTGGGTTTGGGGCGTGACAATACATGCAGGAGGTTTGGTTTTTAGTGAGAATGGCAGGTGCAAAATTGTTAATGTCTCAATTTATGCAGGTTTGCTTAGGCATTTTTTTCTTGGTTCTGTCTGTCTTTGAAGTTTAAAGCCTTTGGCCTCTTGCAGTAGGTAGCTTGGCTACTGCTACAGTTCTTTCTTCAGGACTAATTATAACATGTTGCTGGAGGAATAAAAGTATTCCAATTTGCAATGAGAAATGCTGGAAATGGGACCGGCAAATTGGGATCTAGAATCAAAGAGAGTCAAGTTGGAATTAAGTAAAGAGATCTTGAATTGATATTCATTAATGGCTATGAATTAAACAGAAGCCAGACTATGGAATATCCCCTGTTTACTTTTAAAGAGAGAAAACTGTAAAGCTCACAACCCTTTTGATGAATGAAAATACATAAAAGAAGGCCTAGCGGGTGCCAATGAACCACCTCAGCAATAGACAGCCACATGGGACTGAGCCTCTCCTACTCTATACTCTCCCTCTTGTTCCTTCCCCTGTCTCAAACAGTGGCACAATAGATACACGCACTTCCATTTTCCAGGACATTCTTTTGCCCTGGAAACTCTTAAAACTGACCGCCCTCAAATGTTTGTCCGAACTGCCAACTTCCTCTGCACCACGTTGTTGCTGGTCACGGTCCGGCCATCGCTTGTGGTGACCTGGAAGGAGAGGCTTGGCCGTTGAGGTAGGAGTTGCTCTGCCAGTTTTGGCCCCGTTCCTTGACATTGGTTGCCATCCTGTTTTGGAGCCCTTGATTGACACTGCGTGGACATCTCCAGCACCGCCAACATTTGTGATCAAGACCAAGTTGAAGTAAGAGTGACCGTTAATGGTGAACCTGATTCCTCCTTTCTTCGTACAGGGGACTCTGTTCAGACCAACATAGGAAATATGTTATTGAGATGAGCTCGGAAACTAGTTTAACTAAGTTTTGATCATAAAAGGGTGTTGGAATCATTACCTTCTGAATGAAATGGGGACAATTCCAGCGCGGTATTGAGCAATCTGCAGGAAGGCAGGCTCTGCCAAGTCAAAGTGCTGGAGGGGAGGGTTGCACCAGCCACCATTGTCATTGGACAACGCAAAGTTAGGGGGCAGAAGTTTGTTGCAGTGACGATGATGGATCCGGGCAGGCACCATTTGGGGTCATTGTCACATCTCATTTCATAGCAAGAACCGCAGCTTAATCCAGTGTTGAACAAGGCGGTGCTAAGTGCTGCAGTGTTAGTCCCATAGCCTTGGCTGTATAGGTTGCCATATCCACAAGCACCTCCTGAAATAGAAGCAGTGGAAGTAAGTAACCTTAAAAAGTTATAGACCATTTAAAGTTAACAAGTGCAATTCGTGTTGAAGTACACAAAAGGACTTGGAGCAGCAAGTTATTATGGCATTGCTTCAACTTTTTCATTACCCCACACTTTGTAAAGTTTTGGTTTCCCCTTTTTTGCTTTTATTCCTTTTTACTAGAATGACAAAGTCAACTAAACTTACCCATTGTGCCAGATGCGTCACCACCACCATAGAATGTAGCATGACCACCTTCCCATCCTCCCCCGTAGTCACCATAGGCCCCTCGCAGGCAGAAATTGAAGAGAAAGAGCAGAAGAGAAGCTGCAGACAATCCTGCTTTTGCCATTGTCAATATTAGCTGGAGTAATTGAGAGGTGAGAGAGAGAGAGAGGGTAATTAAAAGGCTTGGTGTGTTTAGTGCTTGATGCTTGTGAACATAGGGATGGGAGAAGGGGTTTATATAGGAAATAAATGGAAAATGTCTGGGGGCGGTGCGATGTGGACGTGAAGAGAAGGAAGAGACAAGCAAGCAATCCTCACGATGAGAGAAAGGCAAGACCACGAGAACGGATTTCATATTTTCAGGTCATTTACAAGGATCAAAGCCTGCACATGCAAATGTTCCGGTTGGACTACCAACCGCTATGCCTCATGGCCCCCACCTGCACATGCATTTATCAAAGTTTTCTTATCTTATTCTCCTAGTCCTGTTAACTGCTCTCGCTTTTGTTTTCTTCCAACCAAAAGCTTCCTTACGTGTAGTTTTGTGGAATTTTCTCCTTAAATTGCCTGAAATCGCGCCAATCCCTGGCGAAATCTTCCATTTCCTTTGATTGGGGACTTTGGGTTTTCTTTATTTTTTTTCCTGTGTTCTTTGAGGTCTAATTTGGTAGGCTGTAGAGGAATATCCTAAAAAACTAGTCAAGGGAGCCTTTGTAATCATTTTGTGCTTTTCATCTTAAACCTTTTCACACATTACAAAAATGCTGCTTGTGGTAAAATCAATAGGGACACCTCCCATTTATCTTCCACAGCATGCAATTCACATCTCCTAAACAGTAAGCCAGTAACAAAGGCATGCCTGGACACATGTGGGATGTATGTGATGTATAATTCTTAATGTTCTTCAAAGACCTGGAACATCTGCAAGATTAAAATCCCATCAGGTTTCTTTCTTGTTTTTTCCATTTGTTACAGGGCCAATGGAGGGGGGGAGCTGCTTTCCTTCATATGTAAGCATGCCATTTCTGTTAAAGCAATCTGCTGTACAACCAAGAAAGCAGCAGACGGACCTGAACGCACTCAGCATCCGAAATTAAAGCCTCATATTAATTTCCAGTGCAATGTGAGACTTGTTTATTGATTAGGTCAACTTGTTTAAGCTTAACTAGCATTTCTTTGCTCAAAACAACTATATCTGGTACATGGCCAAGAATCATATAAATTTTTTTTTTCCCATACCAAAACCATTTTTATGTAAGCATCAACCATATACTTATGGATGGTGACTTCAAGAATCATTTGTCGGTAATTATATTATAATATGAACTTGACTTGCTAAATGTGAATGACTAGCGGTATGCAGTATCAGCTGCATGCGCAGCCATATCTATCTATCTATATATCAGAAGTCAGAAAGAGAAAAAACATGAATTTTGTTTTCCATCATCATTAATCGATCATTGAAATCATTAGGCATGCGTGTGTAGGGATTAATTTAAGCATTGAGTTTTGTAGTTTTTTACAATGATTAATCTCAATCTTATGTGTTAAACAGGAAGAAAAGCTTGAAAGTTATCTGATAGAAAGATTTGGTTAGGGTCCTACCATGTTAGGAGCACATGGAAGCCCCGCGCTTCCCGGTCCCCTTTGTATCCATGCATCATTTTCATATGAACTATGGGTGGTTTTCAACATTGTAATCTGATACTGATATAAGATTAACCAAAAGCATCCAAGCAATAAAAATAATTACCTAATATCAGATGTGGACTAACGGAGAATAAGGAAAAAATGCTTTGATTTTGCTTCCTTTTGCTTTTGTTAATTTCACATTAGTAGGGAAGATTGAGAATCCTGCTTTTTCTGTTGCAATTTCTTTTCAACATATCTTAAAACTTGTCTGTTTCAAAGTGGGAAATATGGAATATTGGAAAAGGTGACATGAGGTTCTTGTATCTCTACCAAGATATTCTCATTGAACAGTGAAAAAAAACTCTCAAGTCCTCCTGAGACAAAGCCTCTGCATCTCTATTTGTTGATCAAGCATGTTGAGTAAATTACAGAAGTCCAATGTGATTTTAAAGTATGGAAGAGTCAAAGTCTTGTGACAATGCCACAATTAAAAAACAGCACCCAGGATCCAAGTTGGGAAGCTCATGTTAAAGAAATGGAAAATACACATGATTAATGTCACCGCCCCTATAGCTCAGTGGTAGAGCGTCAGTCTTGTAAACTGAAGGTCTGTAGTT